AGAACAACTTGAACTTTTTTAGGGATTGATCAGGATGGATGATTCTCAGGAAAGTTGTTGTTTTTGCAATCCTCAATATTGAATCCTCAATCCAGTGGTAAAGCACTGTCAAGTGATAGAAGGAGTTGAAGGTTGTTTGGGTTTGGCCAGGATTGACAATTCTCAGGAAAGTGGTCGGTGTAATCTTCAATATTGAATTGTTGTGGCAAAATACTTTCAAGTGCTTAGCAATCCAGTAGAAACACTTTCAAGTTATTAGCTAGGCAAACTTTCAAGTGCTATTGGTGAGCGGTTTGCTTCATGTTAGCTATGCTCATGTTGACCCTTTTCCAGGAGGTAAGCAAAGGTAGGTGTAATGCTCCATAACACTGTATTTTACAGTTTCTCATCTCCTACCTCCACCTTTTGAGATAGAATGAATTTTGTTTCCCTGTGCAGATAGAACTTTAAATACAACGGATTCTGCTAGAATCCCATGTTTCGAGATAGTTTTACATTTGAACCTCCCTGCCCTTGAAATTTCCTTTTGGAACACCGTCTAACAAGTTTAATTTCGGACCTTTCTTATACTACAAAAGGGCCAAAATAAATAACACAAATAGTCATAGTATTTGAATTTCCTTGTAGAAGTCTCTTGAATGTTTAGCCATATTTAATACGAGTTATATTTGAGAAGTAGTCTCTATTTAATTCTTACTATCAAAAGCTAATTGAAAGATTAGTTAGAGTTTACGCGAAACTATATTTACATTTTCATGTAGCTCCTATTTAGAAAGGATTTGCTTATATAAGCTGCAATTGAACATAAACATATTTTGGAAAACTATATCCTAACTAAATTATACTCAACATTCCAATTCTAGTTGAAGTAAAATCCTATTTGGAAAGGGTATCATATTGGGACACTTCGGAGGACTCTGCGCTTCAAATTATTAGGCTTTGGGGACCCACAATTGGAAATTTTGAGAATCTGTATATATATATATATGTATGTGAAAATATACACCCAGCCAAGTTGTACCACGGCTTCTGGTGGAGGCCTTGGATGCGCCGATAGCAAGCACATCCAAAGCGTGCCAGACAAAGCATGAAGCGCATGAGGGGTCGAGCGACCGTGTCCTTCACCGCAGCATAGTGGGAGAGCAGGGCATGAAAGCAGGTCAGGCCCTCACCTGCAGACAGAAATGGAATGCATTCCAGTTAGCTACCAGTGGGTCTATCACACCCTTGGAAGCGCAGAATGTGGGGATTGGCAGCCTTTCACAAGACAAACGTTCGCTTTAACTTGCTGGTGCTCAGTAGGGAATGACCGAGTCCGGGTGTTGGGAACGAACGTAGAGATTCTCAAGGAAACCAGTTGGATCGTTTCCGGTTGTCCTTCCCTTTCCTCATTCCTTCTGCATCTCTCGATTTTCCAGGCGTTTACATAAGTGTCCTTTTGGGAAAATAGATGGCCCTGGTAGATGATTGAACCTTACCCTGGTCCAGGAATCATTCGCCCTCTATTTTGCAACCAGACCAACCAAGGACACCCCTCCACCCATGGGCGTTTACCTCCAGACTCCGCAGACTCCGCCGGCCTTCCACCTGGATCTGCTCCAAGAGCTCCTTGTCCGCAGACGCCAGGCACTTCGTCATCAGCTGCCAGGTCAGCGGCTCCGGAGCCACGCCTCGGGACCGAGGTGTTTTCGAGGCGATCGCTACGTCGGCCCTTTTTTTGTCGTGAGAGTCAGCAGCTGGTGAGATGACCCACTGGGAACGGAGACTCTACTAAGGGCTGTGGTGGGTTTTCTACTACTACCATGATTACCCACTTACTAAGTGCCACGCACCTTTAAGTAGCAGAAACCTGGCGAGAAGTTCCCGGGAAGGCTACCTCAGGGGAACTAGGTGCCTTCAGGAGTTCAAGCTAAAAATTCCACGGCAGGTGGGTCCTCACATCCCCTGCCAAAAGTCAACTTGTGGGTTTCATGGAAACCCCCACTAAACCAATGGAAGCCCCCACTACACCCTGGTCTGAAAAGCTCTGCGGATGGGAGCCAAGCGGGAAAAAATAAAGAAAACACGGCGGGCTGGGACATGCGAGGACTCAATTAGTAAAGGAAACCACGTCTAAATATTACCTCACAAATATGCCCATCCCTTCTCCCACATCCCTGCTCAGGATTCCACTCATAGGTGTCCTTTTGATCGGTTGGTTTCGCTAGAAATACATGGGTTCAATATTGGTGAGCTTTTCCCCCCCCCCATTTTGCAGGGAAACCCATCCTTTCCCTCCAAAGGGTCACCTGAGTGACAATCAAAACCTGATCGACCCAGAACCATGTAAAGGATTAAGAAGGCGGCCGCGCCTATTTATGGTTGGGATCGTCGATTACTAATTTCATCTAGCTGGGTTTTGATTTTGGCTCACCCCATCCTTTTCAACCATCGTTCTTTCCAAAAACCGGCCATTTGCCCTCGGTTTCCGGAGGTTTTCTAGAAAGAAGGATCCCTGGAAAGAATGGGGGAGGTACCCTAGAGAAACCCATCCTTTCTCTCCAAAAGGTCCCCTGAGTGACAATCAAAACCTGGTATTACAATGGTCCACTGGGACTGTTCCTAACCTTCACTTACCCGGGGTTTGATTGTGAGCCAAATGGAATCCCCACCATGGGTAACTTCTCCCATGTGGCTGTGGGTCAAAAATGGGTACCTAACATGGAGAAGGTACTTTTAGAGAGACCCATGCTTTCTCTCCAAAAGCTCACCTCGTGTTTCTCCCGACGGCCTTGTCGCTGCAGCTCCTTCAACGCCTGCTCCGCCCCCAGGGCGTCGCCGGCGCGCGCGTAGCCGCCCAGCAGCAAGTTCAGGCTGCTGCAATTGGGGCTGAGGCCCCGACAGCGGAGCCCGTCCTCAGGCGCGTCGAAAGGCCTCTCTCTCTCTGAGATCTATGTATGTTGTTGTTGTTTAAAAAAATAAAATAAAAACTGTCAAAGCTGGCTTAAGAAGCGGCAAAGGCGATTGCCCAGCCGGTCTGAAGACCCCGTTCCAAGAGGATTGCGACTCGCCCAGTGGAAAATGCCCCCCCCTCCTCCTTTTCACCTGGCCGAACCTACCCGACGCTGGCCCCCAACCCCAAACCCCAAACCCCAAACCCGAATCCGAATTTTAGGGGCCCGAGGCTCCAGCAGCTGGTGGGCCTTGTGCAGCTGCCCGGCTCGGCAGTGGGCGCCCAGGATCATGTTGTAGCTGGCGATGTCCGGCCGCACGCCATTGGCCTCCATCCGCTCGATCCAGGCCTCTGCCGCCTCACCAAAGAAATGGCGGTGGCTCAAAAATCGGCGAACTTCCCCCCAAAATGGGTTGCCCTGGTAAATTGAACCAAGGACTAAAGCCTGCGGTCCAATTCCTGGTTTAATCTTGATACCCAAATGAATGACACGAAAATAAATCACGCCGAGAATCGCGGTGCTTCTTTGGGCCAGCCGGAAAAAAGAATGGAGCTGGGTGGTCAAAATGTGTTGGTCTGCCCTTGCTCCGGTCGCAACCCAGAAGGTTTGCAAAGACTTCTGTCTAGTTGACATGGCGAATAATTCCTACTTATCCACCCGTTCGACTCACATGGCACCTGAAACAGGGTCCCTTGAAGAGGAAATTGATCTTCCAGGACCCCTCGGCCCCATGTTAGTGGACGGCTATCCATCCCAGCCTTCTCACACACGTCCAACATCCGCTTTTCGATCGACTTCGGGCTCCAGGGAGCGACTCAAACCCGTCGCCTGCGTATCTCCGGACTTTGCCAAGGAGTTGATGATGGCGCCATAGCTGGTGACCGTGAGTTGAACTCCTTGCGCAACAAGTCGGTTCAGCCAGTCCTGCAAAACACTCGGGACATGCTTGGACAAGTTCTGACCTAGGTTTCATGACTCTTTGCGAGATATGATGATCATGGCACCTTACTTATCAAATTCCCTCATCCCCCTGTTACATTCCCTCACCCATCTAGCCTCGTCTTCCCATCCCCTTCATGCTTCCGGCTTTGAGCCCTCCAGCTCGCTCCGACATCGACCCGTCCTCGGCTTTCTGCAGCTGGCCGGCTTGGCAGCAGGCGTGGATCACCGAGTTGTAGCAGATCACGTTGGGCTTCAGCCCATCCTCCGCCTGCATCCGCTGAAGCCACTGCTCAGCGCGGCAGGCATCTCCCGCCCTCCCGCGGAATGCGCGGGGGATGGGGCTCGGAATGGGGCGCGGGGGGGGCACGCAGGCGCAGGCAGGCACGCTTTGGGAATCGCTTCAAAAAACACCTGGCAAGCCTCACCTCGGGCTTTCTACTCATCCCACCTGCCTCTCTTTCGCCACCCCCCCCCACCCCTCACCCCTCTCATCACCCTCCCACTCATGACTCTCCATGAGGCCGTGGGTCAAGAATAGGTACCCAAGATGGAACCCTGGTAAATGAAAACATGGACTAAAACCTGTGGTTTCTTGGTGGTTTGATGTTGACCTACACCCATGACTCCCCATGACTCCCCATGACTCCCACCTGGCACAGGCGTGCAAAATCGAGCTGAAGCTCACAATGTTGGGCCCGCACGCGTCGCGCAGCTCGCGGAGCCAGTGCTCCGCCCGCTCCACGTCTCCGGCGCGGGCGCAAGCGTCGATCACGGCGTTGTAGCTCCTCAATCGAAGCCGTGTCAATCCCAATTTGAGTCACAATCAAAACCCGGTACAAAAATGGTCGACCCAGAACCGTGTAAAGAACTAAGAAGGCGGATATCCGCAGCTATTTATGGCTGGGATCGTCCCTTACTAACCTTCACTTACCCGGGTTTTCAGTGGATCATTTGGGGGGGTCCTCGCTTTTGCAAGGGAACACCCCCTACCGCAACTTCCACGCGGGGGAGGGGGGGGGGAATTGTTCATCCAGGGTCAACATCGTGCACCAACAGCAAGGCCCCGCCTCAAAACGGACTAAACGCCAAGCCCTTTGGCCCCGACTCTGTGATGGTCGCCCCTGAAAGAATCACAGGCCAATCACAGGCCAAGGTGCATGACGTCGGGCTCCAAGCGAAGTGGCTGCATTTGCTTCAGCCAGTGTTCAGCCCTTGCTGCGTTGCCCTGCTTTGCAAAGGCAGAGATCACGATGTTGATGCTGATGACATTGGGCGTACCGATGTCCTCCGATCTCTTTTCATTGCGAGGCACGCAAAAATGAAACTCAAGGTCCAAGCAACAGACTCCTCCCCAAAGCCTCGAACCTTCCCGTTGACCGCTCCGTCCTCTGCAATCAAGGCCCTGAGCCAGCGCTCCGCCCCGCTGGCGTTGCGGCTGCGCGCGTAGGCGCTGATCACGGCCCCAAAGGACGCGGCGCTCAGCTGCCCGGCCGCGCGCAGCTGTCTGCAGAGCTGCTCGGCCTTGCGAGGCTCCCCGTTGCGCGCCGCCTTCTGCAGCTGCTGGAAAATCGACTCCGCCTTCGCCTGTGTCTGACTACCCAAAGGGGTGGCTGTCTGACTACCCAAAGAGTGGCTGCAGATGTGTGAAACTTGCTGTATGTGAACTTTACCTATGTCTGACTACCCCAAGGGGTGGCTACAGATGTGTGAAACTTGAAAAGATGTGAACTTGTAAATTCACAAAGGACCCAGCAGGGAGTCGGTGTTTGGGTGTAGCATGGCAGCAAAGACAGCATGACCGTGCTACAAGTTTACAAACAGGCCGTCCTGGTTTGCCCCGAGCAAGCAAGGTAGCTTGTGTTTCACCAAAACAACAAAACAGGTCTGAAGCAGGTCACACACCCATGACATGTGTGAATTCCAAATTTGGGTTGATTTTAACCACCTGCTCGGCTCGAAAACTCCTTGCCCGCTCCAAAAGCGTGCGCCTCAGACTTGGTCTCCAATGACTTCGCCGACTTCCCCGGGCTGGGATTCCGGGTGTCGGATTTGGAGAAGCGGCGGCCAAACTCCAAGACTACCAGGAGCATCACCACGATGAACTCCTCACTGGCGGCGGAGAAGAAGGAGTACCCGCAGACCTGGATGTGGTGGTCAACACCAATGGGATCGATCCCGATTTTGGGCTGGGTGCACCCATGTTAGAACCTACTTTAGTGGGGATTGGGATGTTTGCTGGGGGGTACGATTCGGGTTCTGACCCATGGCCTCGCACACGGAGAAGAGCAAAACCACCACCCCCGCAATAGCCACCAGCTGCAGGAGGGAGAAGCCATCCAGGCCGTTCATGTCCAGCATCGCTTTTGTCAGAATAGGAAAACGGCTCAACGGAGAAGCCAACAATTGTCGGAGTTGAGAGTCAAGGACGTAAGTGAGGAAGTAATCGAAGAAGAGCGAGAAGTTCGGGGCAGCTCGCACAGGGTTTCGAGCACTGCCCTGATGTTCGACGCCAGACGGCTGCGAAAGAATGCAAGTAACTTTCAGCAGAATGTGATGCAACCAGCATCTACATCCAAACATCGCATTGGATGAGTTTCCAAGTACAACATGCAGCGTACCTTGGCTCCGCCAATTTTCCGGTTCACGCGAGGTCGTACGCGCGCGCCTGGCATTCAGCCGGCGCTGCGGCGCAATGCTGCAGCGGACCTGCGCCACGAATCCTCACGTTGTTAACCAGGCACAGGATGTAACCCTTTGCACGTTGAGCTTCGGAACTCCGGCAAAAGAAGAGAGATGCCTTTGGCCATGGATCAGAATTGGGACCTAAGCGAAGAACTTGCCGCTTGCATCACTTGCACATGTGGACTGACAGGCGTTTCCCTCTGCCAGAGCCCGGCCTGGCGGGTCCTCATGTCGACTGGTCGATGCGGCTTTTGCATCTGAAATAACACATGTTGTCTCACTCCCCGTATAGCTTCAAATGAAATCCGCCGACATTGCTCGGCGTGTCGGATACTTACTAGAGGATAGAGGATAACCCCCCCCCTAACCCCCCCCGCCCGACGTCTATTACGTAGGTTTTTTGGGGGGGGGGGGGGTCCCCCACGTACCGCGCGGCAATTTGATGACGTTCCACTAAACGTAGTCTTCGGGGAGCCGGTGTCGCAAAACAGGGGTCCCAGGCTCGATTCCCCCTGCCGGCTTTTTTGCTGGCTTGGGCTTCCTGCATCCTTTTGCCGAAAATCTGGAAAAACTCAATGTTTTTGGACGTCCTCTTTGCGAAAACGCTGGAAAAACCGTGTTTTTTTTGCGGGAAATACATACATACATGCATGAATGCATGCATGCATACATACATACATGCACATACATACATACATACATACATACATACATACATACATACATACATACATACATACATACATACATACATACATACATACATACATACATACATACATACATACATACATACATACATACATACATACATACATACATACATACATACATACATACACATACATACATACATACATACATACATACATACATACATACATACATACATACATACATACATACATACATACATACATACATACATACATACATACATACATACATACATACATACATACATACATACATACATACATACATACATACATACATACATACATACATTATATACATACATACATACATACATACATACATACATACATACATACATACATACATACATACATACATACATACATACATACATACATACATTACATATACATACACACATACATGCATACATACATACATACATACATACATACATACATACATACATACATACATACATACATACATACATACATACATACATACATACATACATACATACATACATACATACATACATACATACATACATACATACATACACATACATACATACATACATACATACATACATACATACATACATACATACATACATACATACATACATACATACATACATACATACATACATACATACATACATACATACATACATACATACATACATACATACATACATACATACATACATACATACATACATACATACATACATACATACATACATACATACATACATACATACATACATACATACATACATACATACATACATACATACATACATACATACATACATACATACATACATACATACATACATACATACATACATACATACATACATACATACATACATACATACATACATACATACATACATACATACATACATACATACATACATACATACATACATACATACATACATACATACATACATACATACATACATACATACATACATACATACATACATATACATACATACATACATACATACATACATACATACATACATACATACATACATACATACATACATACATACATACATACATACATACATACATACATACATACATACATACATACATACATACATACATACATACATACATACATACATACATACATACATACATACATACATACATACATACATACATACGTACATACATACATACATACATACATACATACATACATACATACATACATACATACATACATACATACATACATACATACATACATACATACATACATACATACATACATACATACATACATACATACATACATACATACATACATACATACATACATACATACATACATACATACATACATACATACATACATTACATTACATTACATTACATTACATTACATTACATTACATTACATTACATTACATTACATTACATACATACATTACATTACATTACATTACATTACATTACATTACATTACATTACATTACATTACATTACATTACATACATTACATACATACATACATACATACATACATTACATACATTACATACATACATTACATACATACATACATACATACATACATTACATACATACATACATACATACATACATACATACATACATACATACATACATACATACATACATTACATTACATTAATACATACATTACATTACATTACATTACATTACATACATACGTACATACATACATGCGTACATACATTACATTACATTACATTACATACATGACATGACATGACATGACATGACATGACATACATACATACATACATACATACATTACATACATTACATTACATTACATACATACATACATACATACATACATACATACATACATACATACATACATACATACATACATACATACATACATACATACATACATACATACATACATACATACATACATACATACATACATACATACATACATACATTACATACATTACATTACATTACATTACATTACATTACATTACATTACATTACATTACATTATTACATTACATTACATTACATTACATTACATTACATTACATTACATTACATTACATTACATTACATTACATTACATTACATTACATTACATTACATTACATTACATTACATTACATACATTACATACATACACATCCATACATACATACATACATGCATACATACATACATGCATGCATACATACATACTTATGTACATGCATGCATACATACGAGAGAGGGAGATTGGGGAGAGAGAGGCTTGGGGGGATGGGGAGGATGGGAGCCGAGAGAGGGAGAGAGGACGACAGAACACACAAGGGAGACAAGGAAGAGAGGAAGAAGGAGAAAAGGGAGAGGACAATGTCGGCGGACTGAGCCGGAGGCTCTAAAGTTTATTTGGCTATCTCTGTTCCTTTCAAGCTTAGCAACGTTGAGGCGGCCAACTCCTCGCATGGAATCGGCGCGGGGACGGCCTTCACTTTGTGGAAGGCTCCTGACTCCATATCTGCATCGCAAGCCGGAGGAAAGAGAAAAAAAAGCTCGGCGATGAATATCATGCTTGCCACAATGCCTGCACTTGCAGTTCTAGCTCCACCTCAAACATGTACGCAAGCCTTGTGGCTTCTAAATGTATGGGACACCCTGTTCCTCCACAGCTTGAGCTGGCCCTGCTTCTGCCACCGCTGCGTGCTCTTGCTGCTCCGATGGCTCCTCAAAAAGTCAAAGTCAATCTTTGCACAACACGCAGGTCAGCAGGACAACAGGTCAACCGAGCAGCAGGTCAGCAAACTAGAAGGTCAAGAGGTCAGCAGGTCAGCAGGTGAGTTCAAAAGTGCAGTTCAGAACAGACTTGCACTGGTGCTGAGTAGGGAATAAAGAGAAAACACAAGGGATGGTTTATAGGGGTCACCAGCAAGCAGAAGATCCCAGCAGCATATCGCTCTGCCATATCGCTCGGGCAAGGAGCGATGCTGGGCTCACGCCCAGAGCAGGTCCTGCACATCCTCTGTGGCGAGCCCGTTTTCCTGCTCCTGTCCATTGCGCTCGACTCTCGCATTGCACAAACATGCAAAGTGTCCAGTCGCCCGCTCTGATTCATAACTCATGATCCATGCATGTCAGGGTTACAAGTTGTTGGAAACTGGGACTTTAGTATTGTCAGAGATGCCTGGATTGACAGCTGAAAAACAGATCTCATCCGAACTTTGGCTAGGTTCAGCACTCAAGTCTTGCACATCCCCCACAGCCCCGCTCCTCCGCAGTTTGAGCTGGCACTGCTTCTGCCACTGCTTGCTCTTGCTGCTCCGTTGGCTCCTCGACAAGCTGAAATCACTGCACAACATGTCACCCACGCTCAGGCATGATCTGCGCATCAAGTTGCCGACAAGTGTGACTTTGGTATTCTCACAAATGCCTGGCTTGACAGCTGGAAAACAGGTCTCATCCGAACTTTGGCCAGGTTCAGCACTCAAGTCTTGCACATCCCCCACAGCCCCGCTCCTCCGCAGTTTGAGCTGGCACTGCTTCTGCCACTGCTTGCTCTTGCTGCTCCGTTGGCTCCTCGCTAGCTGGAATCACTGCACAACGTGTCAAACACGCTGAGGCATGCGACTTTAGCATTCTCACAAATGCCTGGCTTGACAGCTGAAAAGCAGGTCTCATGGGAACTTTGACTAATCCCCCACAGCCCCGCTCCTCCACAGTTTGAGTTGGCACTGCTTCTGCCACTGCTTGCTCTTGCTGCTCCGTTGGCTCCTCGACAAGCTGGAATCACTGCACAATATGTCACCCACGCTCAGGCATGATCTGCGAATCAAGTTGCTGACAACTGCGACTTTAGCATTCTCACAAATGCCTGGCTTGACAGCTGGAAAACTGGTCTCATCCGCACTTTGGCCAGGTTCAGCACTCAAGTCTTGCACATCCCCCACAGCCCTGCTCCTCCGCAGAATGACAAGGGACTGCTTCTGCCACTGCTTGCTCTTGCTGCTCCGTTGGCTCCTCGACAAGCTGGAATCACTGCACAATATGTCACCCACGCTCAGGCATGATCTGCGAATCAAGTTGCTGACAACTGCGACTTCAGTATTCTCACAAATGCCTGGCTTGACAGCTGGAAAACAGGTCTCATCCGAACTTTGGCCAGGTTCAGCACTCAAGTCTTGCACATCCCGCACAGCCCCGCTCCTCCGCAAATTGAGCTGGCACTGCTTCTGCCACTGCTTGCTCTTGCTGCTCCGTTGGCTCCTCGACAAGCTGAAATCACTGCACAACATGTGATCTGCTTATCAAGTTGCAGGTTCTGCACTCAAGTCTTGCACATCCCCCACAGCCCCGCTCCTCCGCAGTTTGAGCTGGCACTGCTTCAGCCATTGCTTGTTCTTGCTGCTCCGTTGGCTCCTCAACAAGCTGAAATCACTGCACAACCTGTCAAACACGCTCAGGCATGATCTGCGCATCAAGTTGCTGACACACAAATGCCTGGATTGACAGCTGGAAAACAGGTCTCATCCGAACTTTGGCCAGGTTCAGCACTCAAGTCTGGCACATCCCCCACAGCCCCGCTCCTCCGCAGTTTGAGCTGGCACTGCTTCTGCCACTGCTTGCTCTTGCTGCTCCGTTGGCTCCTCGACAAGCTGGAATCACTGCACAATATGTCACCCACGCTCAGGCATGATCTGCGAATCAAGTTGCTGACAACTGCGACTTGAGTATTCTCACAAATGCCTGGCTTGACAGCTGGAAAACTGGTCTCATCCGCACTTTGGCTAGGTTCAGCACTCAAGTCTTGCACATCCCCCACAGCCCTGCTCCTCCGCAGAATGACAAGGGACTGCTTCTGCCACTGCTTGCTCTTGCTGCTCTGTTGGCTCCTCGACAAGCTGGAATCACTGGACAACATGTCACCCACGCTCAACAACTGCGACTTCAGTATTCTCACAAATGCCTGGCTTGACAGCTAACAAACAAACTGGCCATCCGCACTCAAGTCTTGAAGCTTCTTTACGTATTGGACGTCTCCGCAGGCCTGCTCCTCCGCAGAATGACAAGGGACTGCTTCTGCCACTGCTTGCTCTTGCTGCTCCGTTGGCTCCTCGACAAGCTGAAATCACTGCGCAACATGTCACCCACGCTCGAGCATGCTGCATGCATGTCCCGCCTGGTTGCAAGTTGATCACAACTGAATTATGCTCAGCCGGCACTTGATCCAATTCTCCAATCAGTGATTTTCTGCCGACAACAAGGAGGTGACCATCCGACAGCAGTAGGTTGTCGAGAGAAGGTTTAAAAGCAAACGACTTCACAGCTGTCGTAGGCCAGTGAAGGCTGCAGCAAATCCAGCTCGCACAACTGTCGACGCCAAGGTTCCGCTCGTTAACACCCCACGCGCAGCTGAAAAAAAACGCATAGCACACAAAGTACAGTTGCTCGCATTCACTCAGCTGCGATGCTGAGCCTGGTGAAAGTCGAAATGGCCCCAAATAGGGAGAGGACTGAAGTGGGATCCTCTTGCACCCTAGTGCATATCTTTCGGTCAGCTCAGAAGAATGCAAGCGGGGTGACCAATCAGTATTGGGGGAAAGCAATTCTGGAAAAGTGCAGCTTGCTAAGCAAAAAGCAGAACACCAGAGGGTTTTATCACGCCGGCAATGTCCGTGGAATATCGTGCAACGTCGCGGATCGAGCAGGCAGCGGCGGCAGAAGCAGTGCCAGCTCAAGCCGTGGAGGAACATGAATGTGGGGGATGTTCAATGCATTAAGAAGATGCAAGACGCCGAAGTTCGGATGAAGCCCGGTTCAACTTGCTGGGAGTTGATCCAATGGTCCTTGTATTGCGGTATGAATGGGGCTACTATTTGGTTTATGCATAAATCCGCCGACCCCTTCTCCTCAAAGGGGGAGGCGCACGGGAAGGGCGATGGCTTGACATGCAAGCGATGCATAGTCATGATTATCATCATCGCTACTGGCGATGCTGAGGATGCATAGTGACCATTGTCATCATCATGATCATCGCTGCTGGAGATCCTCATAATCCTCCTCATGACTCGTCTTCTCAAGCTTTTTCTATACACATTTCAAGTGTGTCGTTAGACCCGGCTTGACACGCAAGCGATGCCTAGCCATGATTATCATCATCGCTGCTGGAGATTACCATGATCATCGCTGCTGGAGATTCTGGAGATGCGTCATGATGATTATCATCATCGCTGCTGGAGATGCTGGGGATGCATAGCGATCATTCTCATCATCATGATCATCGCTGCTGAAAATGCAGGGGATGCGTGGTGGTGATTATCATCATCGCTGCCAGAGATGCTGGGGATGCGTAGTGATGATTATCATCATCCTTGCTAAAGATGCTAGGGAGGCGTAGGCATGACCATCATCATCCCTGCTAGAGATGCTGGGACGCATAGCGATGGTTATGACTCGTCTTTTCACGTCTTTTCTATATACATCTCAGGTGTGCCGTTAGACCTGGCTTGACAGGCAAGTGATGCGTAGTCATGATTTTCCTCATCTCTGCGGAGCTGGAGATGCTGGGGAGGCGTAGTGACGAGAATCATCATCCCCCCTGGAGATGCTGGGGATGCGTAGCCATGGCTATCATCAAGGCGACCACGAGCATCATGCAAGCGATGCGTCGTCATGACTATCATCGTCGCTGCTAAAATTGCTGGACATACGTAGTGATGAGTATCATCCATCATGATCATCGCTGCTTGGAGATGCGTAATGATGATTATCAAAATCCTTGCTACAGATGCTGGGGATGCGTAGGTAGTGATGGTTATCAACACAATCACGCTGATGGTCATCGTCATCCCTTTCTTTCTTTATATTTTGCATTTCAAAAGTGGCCTTAGGCACAGTTGGAGATGCAAAGGATGCTACGTTTGAAAAAAAGGATGCTGCGATGATACTTTGATTATCATCATCGTGATCATCCTTGCTGGAGATTCTGGAGACGCGTAGTGACGATTATCATCATTTCTGCTGGAGATGCTGGGGATGCGTAGTGATGATTATCATCATCATGATCATCGCTGCTGAAGATGCCGGGGATGCGTCATGATGATGATCATCATCCTTGCTGGAGATGCTGGGGATGCGCAGTGATGGCCACCATCAAGGCAATCACGATCATGACTGCTGCTGGTGATGCTAATGGTCATCATCGTCCCTTTCTTTATAGATACATTTCAAAAGCGGCCTTAGGCACAGGGTCGAGATTCCAGATGCTACGGTGATACTTATCCTCGGCATCGTTGGAGACGCAGGGGACGCTGCGATGATACTTTGATTCTCATCATCATGATCATCGCTTCTGGAGATTCTGGAGATACGTTGTGACGCTTATCATCATCGCTGCTGGATATGCTGGGGATGCGTAGCGATGGTTATCATCATCATGATCATCGCTGCTAGAGATGCTGGGGATGCGTATGATTTGCATCATCCCTTGCTAGAGATGCTGGGATCATGCCTGCTGGAGATGCTGGGGATGCGTAGTGATGGCTATCATCAAGGCAATCACGATCATGACTCACGCGTAGTCATGAGTATTATCATCGCTGCTGGAGAGGGGATGCGTAGTGATGCTTATCATCATCATGATCATCGCTGCTGGAGATGCTGCGGCGTAATGATGATTATCATCATCCCTGCTAGAGACGCTGGGGATGCGCTGTGATGGTTATCATCAAGGCAATCACGATCATCCCTGCTGCTGGTGATGCTGATTGTCATCATCATCCCTTTCTTTCTTAATCATATATTCCTTTTAAAAGTGGCCTTAGACACAGTTGGAGATGCGAAGGGCGCTACGATAAGTAGATGCAGGGGATGCTACGGGGAAACCTTGATTCTCATCTCATCGCTGCTGGAGATTCTGGAGATGCGTAGCGATGATTACCATCAGCGCTGCTGGAGATGCTGGGGATGTGTAGTGATGGCTTTCATCATCATGATCCTCGCTGCTGGAGATGCTGGGGTTGGCGTAGTGATGGTTATCTATCGCTGCTGGAGGTGTTGGGGATGCGTAGCGATGGTGATGAAAATCACCAGCGCTGCTGGAGCTGGCCTGCGTAGCGATGATTATCATCATCATGATCATCGATGCTGGAGATTCTGGAGATGCGTAGTGATGATTATCATCATCGCTGCTGGAGATGCTGGCGATGCATGGCGATGATTATCATCATGATCATTGCTGCTGGAGATGCTGCAGATGCGTGCCAGTGTGACCGTGCCCAAGCGGTCAACCTGACAATGGTTGACCTGCTCGGAGACGTCCGGGCAGGTCAACCTTCTAATGAATCCTCGCACTGTTGGAGATGCAGGGGATGCTACGATGATACTTATCGTCATCATCATGGTGATCATCATTCTTAGTATCATCGTCATCATGGTTGTTATCATGACTGCTGGCGATGCTGACGGTCGTCATCCTCCCTTTCTTTCTTTTATACATTTCAACAGTGGCCTCAGGCACAGTTGGAGAGGATGCTACGATGATACTTTGGTTATCATCATCATGATTATTCATTATCGTAACCATCATTCCAAGTATCATCGTCATCATCATGATTGTTATCATGACTGGTGGTGACGCTGAGGGTCCTCATCATCATTTTCTTTCTTTATATATACATTTCAAAAGTGGCCTGAGGTACAGTTGGAGATGCAAAGGATGCTACAATGCTACTTATCCTCGGCATCGTTGGAGATGCAGGGGGTGACTACGATGATACCTATCATCGTGAGTTGCCGTACCGCGCCGCGCCAGTGTGAGCATGCCCAACTGGAGGGTTGACCTGCCCGGAGGCTTTCAACCTGGCAATGGTTGACCTGCTCGGAGGCCTCCAAGCAGGTTAACCTGGTAATGGATCCTTAGAGTCGCTCGAGATGCAGGGCTGGAGCCCTTGAATTCGGCTACGGCTTTTGGGGTAGCTCTTTGCATCACCGGCTCGGGCTTGCGGTGTTGCTTGCCTGTGGGAATGGGCCATGTGGCTGACATCATCAGGGTCTGGGGTTGGGCCTGGGCGATGCTTCAGCGCGGCTTGGTCTGCATCATGAAGACTTCCTCAACCCATGAAGCACTGTTTTTCAGAAGGTGTCGGAGGGATATGAGCGAGGGCTGGCTCGCGTGCTGCGCGGTCCTTGCCTTTTTCCCGTTGGTTTTCGGGCCTTCGGCGCGCGCGCGCGGACCCCAGCCACAACACGCTGCTATTTACGGTGGTTTGTTGCATTTGCGTTTCCGGGCTGGCTTGCGGGCTGCTCTTTTTGGGCTGCTGTTTCTGGGGCCTCTGGCGCGCGCGCGCGACCCCATGTCAGCCTTCTGGGTTGGGGCCCAGAAAGCTGGCATCCCCGGTTGGGGTGGGTAACATGCAAAACCTAACCAGCCATATCAAAGCACAGGATACGTTTCTTATACAAAAAACATGACATGACACGGTATAACTTTGAAGAGGCGTAGCCGGCTAGAGGCCACAGGCCCAGAAAAATTGTGTAAGGCTCCACCAAGGCTCTGCAATGGACTTTGCGGCCGTTCTCTGTTTGCGAAAGTTTTGTGCAAGCGGCAATGGGTCCTCGGAGTCACAAAAATCAAGCAAGTAAGCACGGCTCCTTGACAAGCTGGAACCTTTCTTCGTACTAACACGAGTTTGCAGGTCAGCACAGTTCTCTCTTTTCAAATCCAGCTTGCCAAGTTTGTCGATCCAGCTGAGGTGTAAAGAAGCTTTTCTCGTCGGCCTCCAAACCCTAAGTAAATCAACTTGGTGTCTCACCTGAAAGTTGATATCGTTGAAACTGCCCTTGAAATAGGTCAGCGTTCAGGATTTTCTAGTTTTGGCGCTATTTAGGGATGTTTTGGAAATGGCGTAGAGTTGCTTGTTAAATATTTTTGAAGTTTGGATTGAGGGGACTGAGTCCCAGTGGATTTAAGTGGAGGGTTGAGTTTCGGCTTGGCTGAGGTTGGTTCCCAGGATGAGAAGGGTATGGGTGGCGCCAATTTTGTCTTGGCTCGGGTTGGTTTCGCGCTGCAAATTTGGCTTTTCTTTGGGAAGGAGGCTTGGTTGAGGGTAGGACCAGTTCAGGGTTGCTACTTCCTTTGGGGTCGCTTTCTGTTTGTCAAGGTGTTGCTCCAGGATGGTGCAAGCCAGGTTCAGAACAGATCGGGCTGGATGAAGGCTGGTTCTTCACATTGGCTTCAGGCTGATTGGGGCTGACATAGCGCGAGGTTCGGGATGGCTTAGAGCAGATTTGGAATGGGCTACTGGGTGGTTCAGCCCACATTCAGGGTTGGCTTTTTCAAGTTTGCTTCAAGTCTGTGGTTCCCTTCGGAACTGTGTCAAGGGCAAGCTAAAACAAGCGTATGTACAGGACAACCATCAATTTGGAGTCTCCAACCAAATGATGTTCTTCCATGTTAGGGCTCCTTGCCCGAAGCGCCTGTTTTTTTTGGACCGAGCTCCGCCGGAATCCCAGCCCTCAACCCTAAATCTCACTCCATGGGTTTGTCTGGGTGGTGTCCTTCCCTTTCAACCATCCCCAAACACACCCATCCCTATATCTACCCAATTGACTTTGTGTTCCTGCACGTGTAGTCGCATGTAGCCGGGGGGTGTGAAGCCATACCTTCACAGGGTCCACAGGTCAAGTCATAGGACCGTAGAGCTAAGATGCTCACTGACGATGCGGTTGTGCAACCAGGGTGGGAAATTGACGTTGAAGACATGTCTCGATGGCAGTGCCGCAAACACCAGCGACAAGTCGCTCGCAGTGCCTTTAGGTTGTCATGTATAGCTGGTTCAAGGGTACGCGCAGAGAACGACACACCCATTTGCCTTGAAGCAAAAGCACGACCCATACAAAAAAGACTCTGATTACCATACATACCAGAACGCACATTCTACATAAGCAAAAGCACCCGCTGCATTGTCGAAACGCGGCGGCATGCAAATTCTATCCCTCGCGGTTGCAAGTTGCTCACAATTGAGACTTTAGCGTCTTCACCGTTGCCTGACTTGACACCTGAACATCGAATCTAGTCTCATCCAAACTTCGGCTGGGTTCAGCAAGGCTTCTTGATGCATTGGACATCCCCCACAGCTCTGCTCCTCAGCAACTTGAGCTGGCACTGCTTCTGCCTCCTGCTCTTGCCGCTCTGATGGCTCCTTCAAAAGATGGAATCATTCATCGAACAACTCGCAGGTTTGCAGGTCAGGTCGGGTCAGCACAGCATCAGGCCCCGTCGACATGCTGCCAAAAGCATTGCATCGTCTTGTCGAACATACACACTCCCAACCCTCTCGGCAGTCCTCTGCAGCATCCCTCTCGTTGCAGCCTGCATGGTCCCAACTTGGCAGACTCCAACGCACAAAAGCAGATCAGATCACAAGGATTGTCTAAACCAAAACACCCGATCAACGAATCAAAGGAAAACGGCTGGTTGTTGAAAAGAACGATGGTTGAAAAGAATGGGGAATCAACCTCTAGAATCCTGCTTGGCCGCTCCTTCAGCCGCCAGCGCCACCGCCACCGCCTCCTTCGCCGCGGCAGGCGGCGCCAGAGGCCTTCGAAAAATCCATCGAGAGGCGTCGGTCCAATGAAATCGTCGGAGCACCTAGCGCCTGCTGTCGTAAGACCATAGGAATTGAGTCAGAATCCAACCTACAAACCTTACGCTTGCGATTGTCCAAACCTTCATCTACCCAGGTTTTGAGCAAGTGTTTTGAGTAAGTGGTTTAATTTGAGGTCGAGTCCTCCCTTTGCCAGATCCTGCCCTCAGCTCTCGTGCAGCTGAGGCCAAGGCCGGCTCTGTTCGTAGCCTCTCAGCCTGCACAAAGCGTCTTGCTTTGTCGGACCCCGACATTTCGTCGGCAGGGCCGACGAATTTGCGGAAGAGGCAGCGAATCAAACCGTGAAAGCGCTCATTCCAGCCTGGCAGCCTTCGATTGCCGCGCATCTTTTAAGGCCGACGCAAAGCTGCTCACCTCAAATGGATTTGGCAGGAATGGAGGCAACAAAGTTTCTTTGGCGTCCCTCGTGACGCAACTTGCTCAGTTGTCTTTCTCCAGCATCCACATAGCAGGACCTTAACCTAGTGTCATGATATGTCTTGAAACAACGCTAAGGCTGTTAACCACCCAAACAAGATTGTTTATCGTGACACCCACACACCATAACTGCAGTCCGTGCCTGCTCTGCACCATGGCTGAAGTACAGCACCTGCCGCAAAGAAACCATTCAAGCGATTTGATTGAAATGACTCAAATCCATCAGCCCAGATTTGGGGGGATGTCTTTTTGGAGTTGGTACCCTTTGTTTGGTGTTTTTTGAAGGGAACCGACAGGGATCACCGTTGCGCCATATCTGTGGCTCCCACCTTTAAAAAGACAAGCCAGCAATTAACCAAGATGTACGGCTCGAAGGCTTCCCTGCTTTGGAGCCAATCTTGCACTCGTTGGGTCTGTCTCCTTTAGAGTTGGTAATTTGTTGGGGGTGGCTTTATTAAGGGGAAACAAAGGGAAAACCCCGCCATTTTACACGGATTTGTCCAAGGTGCCCCTTCTTGCCCAAGTCGGGCTAGCACTGCAAACTGGCAGCCAAGCACTGAGTACGTGCAGGCAAGCAGCCAACGCTGGCTCCGCTTGCTTGGCATTGTCCTTCGAGACAGAGGCTGTGTTGAAAGATCTTTTCATCAATCACCCTGCCTGAATGTGGCAATAGGCGGTTTGTGGGAGATTCTTCTTGGTTGTCACCTCTGCCGGAGCAAAATGTCCGATGCTAAATGAATGGGGCCCTGGCCTTGGCGACTTGCAAGACCTCACAGAGCCGGATGCTTCGCCCGGTGCTTCGAAGCCGTGTGCTTCGCGTGCCGCGAAGCTCTCAGCACCGCACACTGAACTCTGCCAGCACCACCGCCTCCTCTTGCAACACTGCTGCACCTAAGACCAAAATGCAATCGGCAAGCAGCCTGACATGTGCAGCTGGCACCGACGAGCTCAAATTAGCGTCACAGACGTGAAGCCCAGTCTCTAAACCGATGCAACAAGAAAACCACCGGCAACGAGACCCTGGCAGACGACCTTCCCCATGAGGAGGGAGAGGATGCAGCTACAGCCTTGCCAAGAGCCTGCGACTTGCGATCGCTGCGATAGCCAGAGAATGAGCTTCCGAGTCTTGGGAGAATGAACCCTTGGAGGGGATTCCCATCCAAGGAAGATTGAAATAGGATGGATGGATTTTCTCGGGGTCATTCCAGAACTCTCATTCCATCGAAGCAAGTAAACCGAATCCAATTCGACCGGCCTTGAAGCTCAGGACAGCTCGGCCGCCTGGAAACGAAGTATGGGGGAGATGAGGCTTGGTGGAGTTAAGAGTTCAGCCCTGGTTGTATTGTGCATTGGTCGTTAAAGCCTTGAGTTGCCTTCGGCGTAACGTATCTTAAATGTCTTTGGTGTTCCTTGGATTCAGTTTGGCTTGATTTTCGTGCCGGCGGCTCGTCTATCGTCATCAAACTATGTTTTGAAGTTTGCTATTGCATTCCTGGGGCTAGCAAATGCTTGCCGCCTGGAAAAGTCTACTCAGGGACAGTCTACAAGATCTTTGTGTGACACTCTTCACCAGCATGTCCAAGACACAGCGAAAATGGTCAGCAGCTCTCTTTCTGCACTTGCACTCGCAGGCTTTGACGACACTCTGCGAAACTGATCAGCGACGCGGCAATGCTTTGAACAAGACCCTTGCAATGCTCTCAAGCATGCCTTTTACACTTGTCCAGCGACACCTTCGATACACACTTCAGTCTTCAGCGACATGCGACATGCAAGAATGACGATGTCAAAACATATTGATTGGTAAACTCGAGTCATCTCTTCGGGTGTTCATTTCGGAGGGGTAAGAATTTCCCTGCATTTGGCTCAATTTCAGCCGCTCCTGCGACGAAAATTTTCCCCAAGCCTCACCAGCAGAGCCACACAGGACCAGTGCTGGGAGGCCATCAGCTCCTAGTGGGGTCAAGGCTGACATGTGCTGAAGGGATGAGTGTTGCTCAAAATCAATCAGCTGGGGTTCCGTTTTGGGTCCTAATTTTTGAGCGGAACTGGTTTTAGGATGCCTTGATCGTGCACCAAATTCTCCAGAAATGGCAGAAGTGGCCAATCGAGCCACGCAGTGAGCCTCGAGTCCCGCAGGCAACAGCTGCTTGGGGCGATCGAGGCAGGGCACGGTGGTTGGTAAGCCTAGACCAACCCACGGAACAGAGACGAAAAAGAGCCACGGCTTTTGTTTGGTTTGCCCCTTTATGCACCCATCCTGGTAGTTCCTGCGAGGCAGCTGCGACATGTCGAAGTCAGCAGGCCTCGCTCTGCCCTTGTTGGCGGTGTTCCCCGGCAACCAACCGGTCGTTGACGGCCTTTTTGCGGGCTCCAGCTTTCAAAAACGCCAAAACGGCCAAGCGCCCGAGTACCCACCGCTCAAAAAGCTCCCGGCCAATTCCCCGGCCGCGCCAGCAGCGTGGGCGGCCCCAGCCCCGGAGAGCTTCTGGGCTCGTCGGAGCCTGGCCGAGCGGCGAACTTCGCGGGCGCCTTCGACAGCGGCTGGGCGAAGGCGAAATCCGCGGGGAAAAGCGACCAAATCTTAGGATCTGCGGAAAAAATGACTCACTTCTAGCGGCTGAAATTCGCCCAAAAAAAGAAAACTAAACCACTTAAAAACGACTCAAAGCCTGAGGAACCGGAGGGTGGCTCATGATTGGCTGATTCACGGATATCACCATGTGATTTCAAGCCCATGCTCCAAGATCTAAGTAGCCTGGCTGGTTGTCCATAAGATCCTGTTCGCAGGCCACGCAAAGTAGCACACGCGGAAAGCCTTTGACACTTGAAAGCGAGTAGCATCGCTTGCTCCCCGCCTGGACTCTGCGAGCCGGGCAAGCGCACGCCTGTGCAAGATTGATTTGGCTCGCTGCTCGCGCAGGGTGCTTAGTACTGGTTAGAACGCACTTAGGAGACTTGTAACCAGGGTAAGTGGGCTATTAGCATGGCTATTACCTACTTCCAAGTACAATGCCCCTTTGAGTGGCGCCTTTGAAGTCTAGGGCTCTCCAAAGGCTCTGTGCCAAAAAACAAACGTTTCGCCTGCTCCAGCGGTCACTCTCTTCAAGCTTGACCTGCGTGGCACAAGGTGGGTCTCATCTTAGTGACCGGCTGAGCACATTAGGTCTGAGCCCCCCGCAGCACGGAGGACAGCTTTTGGGCTGCGCCCTCGGCAGCTGCGGCGGCGGCAGCGGCGGCACCTGTTCTATGGAAAAGAAGAAAACAACACTTGAGGGGATCCCGATATGCAAGACATGGGTATGGCTCAAAATTGAACCCAAGGCAACTTTTGGTACCATGGAGCCACAGTCAAATGAGCTGAAACTAGTCAAACTAACTTGCTCAAGTCCCGCATGCACGTCAAAGAACGAAGGCCTGTTGCAGAAACAGCTCCAGCTAACAATTGAGGCGTAGCTCACGGCAAAGCACCTTCTGCCGCAACCGAGGCGGAAGATGGCAGCGGGTGCCTGTTGCGCGAGCTGGAAGCATAATTGTCGAGGAGGCAAAGACGAGAAACCCTGCGGAGTGTCCGCGGTCTGCAAACGCACCGCTTTCGTTTAGATGCGAGCACTGCCAAGCACGGCTATGTGGCCATGGGTCAAAATCCCGTATTTACAGTGAACATCCCAATCCCCACAAAAATAGAATAAAATGGGTAGCCAAAATGGTACCATGGGTGTTGACCCACGGTCATGTGAGTACTGGAAAGCCCAGCTTTGGCTGGCCTGTCCAGCATCCCATTTTCAGGCTGGCTCTCGATGATGTCGTAGTTGTGCTTCTGGGCACACTTCATCACTGCCTGGCATGACTGGGCTGTCCTCAGCCCTGCTAGAAAGGAGAACTTTTGGTGAGTGAAATGGAAACCCCCAGTAAACCCTACCGAGATGAACTACTCGCTCCGACCGCACACCTCACCACACCAGTAACCACACCCGTTGGCTTTGCCTCGAAGCCGCCATTGGCCACAGAGACGTGCCGCAAGGAGAGGTCCTTGGTAAGAACCTCAGGGCTGCCAACACTCGAGGGCAGGCACCTGGATGGAAGGACAAACATCCTGTCCTGAGAATGTCGCATCCCTCACAATGAATGTGTGCATAAAATTCCCAAGCCACATGTGCATCAAGCGCAAGTGCGTAAGTTCCCGAAACCAATCTCATCAGGGCTTGCAGCCCTTGTCAATGCTGCAAGAAGAAGAAGGAGCAAGCCAAGCCAGCAAAATGTTCGCTGCAGGTTAAAAGACCTTTGGCCCCAACCAATCCAGCCTTGGCCAAAGCGCTGGACCCGAGCACTCGGCCGAGCCCCCCGCTATGTACAGTGCCCGCAGCAGCAAGGATTCCTCCGAGCGGCCCAGGAGGCAGAGATGCGCCTGGTGCGCGGGAAGCAACCCCCTGCAAAGAGAAGCCGGCAGATGATTGGCAAGATGCTACCTGCTACAATAGACTCCTTCAGACTAGCCGCCAATCGGCCGATCCTGTAAATGGAACAAAGGCTTCTAAAGCGGTCCTGGGAGCTTCCATGTTGGTCTGGGGAAGTGTAGAGGATGGTTGCAAGTGGGATCTAGCCCAGTACCAGCGATCCTGACTTGCTGCTGCTGCTGCTGCTGCTGCTGCTGCTGCTGCTGCTGCTGCTGCTGCTGCTGCTGCTGCTGCTGCTGCTGCTGCTGCTGCTGCTGCTGCTGCTGCTGCTGCTGCTGCTGCTGCTGCTGCTGCTGCTGCTGCTGCACCCCTGCTGACACCACCGCCGCGTCTGTTGGTGGTGTTGGTGTTGGTGTTGGTGTTGGTGTTGGTGTTGTTGGTGTTGGTGTTGGTGCTGGTGTTGGTGTTGGTGTTGGTGTTGGTGTTGGTGTTGGTGTTGGTGTTGGTGTTGGTGTTGGTGTTGGTGTTGGTGTTGTTGGTGCTGGCTGGTTTCCATAGTTTCCATGGTGGTCAAGCAGACCACCATGGAAACTATGCCGCCGCTGCTGGCTGATTTCAGCCAAAGCATGAAGCGCAACCACTGAGGGAATGACCCCTTTACACCATCCCCGATTTGGTTTCCTTTGTTCGGGAATCCCCAGGTTCATTCCATTTCTCATTCCCTGCCTATCGCACCAAGAAAAGACACACCGTGGGGAAACATCAAGCTGTGAGGTGTGGCATGTCCGGCCTGGCTGTCGCAAACCCAATTCTCTCCAAGCGTTGCCTTCAAAGCAGCTAGCACTTGGGAGGGCCTCGGCGACTTGCTGCAGGCTCCAAAGCGCTCAATCCAAACATCTCAATGAGCACAGCTTGTGCGGCTTCCTGAGCCTCGTGCTGAGGTTCACTCTCTTTGCCCCAGAGCAGCTTCCTAAGCAACCCATACGCTTTCTCACTGTCCAGCATTGCAAAGCTGGACAGTGCTCTTATTTCCTAACTGAATGGACTAAAAAATAAATAAAAAATGTTTACCACTCAAATGGTCTTCCCACAAAGTATAAAGTCCATGAACTCAAGAAGCTCCAAAGTGACCTCCTCAAAGCAAACGAACGCCGAGTCTACGCCCAATACACGCGGCACAAAACGCTAAGCTGCGAGCCTGCCGCTCCAGGCGGACTCGGCGGAAGGTGATGAGCAAAGCATACGAGAAAAAAAAAGACTCTTTAAGGCTTTAAGGACTCGCGGGTGGGAGTCCGGGAGAACAGCTTGGTGATTTCAGGGGCCAAAAGTTGCAAACATAGGCACTCGACTGTTGGCACTCTGACAAATACAAACATTCTAGGTATTCTACTGTTGCTACTCTACTGGTCGCATTGGAGCACTAGAGGTGTTTGGAATGTGGCCTACATGCATGACCTATGCCGCACCTAGCTTTTTGCTGCATTGGGACTGGTTTTCCGCAAAAAAGCGTACCCCCGCCCCCCCACCGCCTGGGGGAATAGCTGCGCCACGTCGAAATGCACCGCAGCCGGCAGCCGGGTGGCCTGCGAATCTGACAAAACTCACCCCTCTGCCACCAAGATCGCTGTGTTGCTCTGATGTCCAACTTTCTGCTTGCGCGGTGGTTGCTTCTGGTGGCACGCAGTTCGTCTCCCTTGACCTTTCTGAGATTGGCCTACTTCAAAACGAGCGTGGTGTGCGGTTCTTGACATCGCCCAACTCCACATTCAAATCACGACACGTCATCCAGCAACATCGAGAAATTGCGAGTGGCTTCACCGAGGCAAAAAACAAAATCCGAAAGCTGGGGACCACATGGCCCCTTCCGCTCCCACCACCCGCGCGCCCGCCCCAGAAAACGGCCAGCGACCGCCCGGATCCGTGGGATCCGTCCGGGTTTTCGCCTCGAAGTCTGCCGCAGGCCGCAGGTCCAGCAGCAAAAGGCGCCAGGGGCACGAGGCCGAGGGCTGCCACGGCTTCAGCGCCTCTCGGTTGATTCGATCCGATCCGAAAGGGGGCATCCGAAAAAGAGGGGGCCCTCATTTTGGAACACACCAACATGAGTGTTCCATGGCGCTTAGCGGGTTGGGGAAGGATGTCATGGACCGGGGGGCGAACTGGGGGGGGCTAGCCCTGAACCCCTGAATTAGGCCTTCTTCCCCCCACATACCGGCCAATACCCCCCCGTCGGGGTCCATGAGCATGGGGGCAATGCAGCGGGAGAGCACAGCAGTTTGGCTACTCTATCTTTCAGCATGTCAAGCTCTGTGGATCGCAAGAACCTGCCTCACCAGGCCGGGCAGGGTAGCAGTGACCTGAGAAAGAGGCTTCTGTCTTCATTCAAACTCCTTGACACATCCTTGAAGGCTTGATCATTTGAGTCCACAAACAACGCCCACAACGATGTAAAGAATACGAAGGCGAATATCCGCGCCAATGTATGGCAAGGCGACCATCCCTTACTAACCTTCATCTGCCTGGGTTTTGATTCTGGCTCATCTGATCATCTCCTCCAACCATTTGATACTGTGGATGGTCGACATCCATTTGGCCGTGGGTCAACACCAATCGTGCGATTTTTGGTAGGTGCACCACCGATTTTAGCATACCTCAGTGGGGATCGGGAGGTTCACTGGGGGGTACGAGATTTTGACCCATAGCCATTTCGCACCACAGTTCAGAAACCCTGGCGTTTGCTTCGTAAATACCACCCAGCGTCATGGTTTCAACCATGGTTTCAACCATGGTTTCAAAGAGTCACTTGTGCGTTTTCATGGAGTTGGTACCCGCGTTGTTGGGTGGGGTTTGAAGAGAAACCAAGAGGCAAAACCATATATTTGTTTGGGGGGTCCCCTCAAAAAGAACAATCACCCATTTGGGCCCCCTTTTAACCAAAAGGCACGCCCATTTCATGTCACTTGAAGCCTCTCCACTTAGGCCGCTGGCCTACCACCTCTTCCGCCAGGATGAAAAAGACCCCCTCCTTCTCGAGTCGCTCCAGCTGCTTGTGGCCCTCTTCCGGACCCTGCCCAAAAACAAAATGGAGCTTTCAGGTGGAACCTCCCCAGAAACATGGGCCCTCTTGAACGGTGCACAGAGTCAACTTTAGTCCTGCTCAAGCATTTACTTTAGTACTGTTAGTATGGACTTTGGCATTTTCTTCGCCACAAGAAAAGGATAAGGCTTTGATTCGGCACTCGCACCCCCTCCTCAGTCCTCACCCACAAAAGAACAAGAACTTGCCCTTGAACAGGGCAGAGTCAGGGCCTTGTAGGCTACCCCCCCTTTGTGCAATTGTTTGATCTTGTTTAAAAAAGTGATAATCATATTCTTGAGGAAAACATATGTGTGCATTAAAAAGGGGGGCACAAAGGGCTGAAGATGAAGCCGATCCTTCTCAAGCTGAAAGGCTAGGCTAGGGCTTTGATATGGGAATGGCTCAAACTAAACCACCAGGAATTGGACCACAAGTTTTAGTCCTTGGTTCCATTTTGCAGGGCAAGCCTTTTTGGGGTTATCCTATTTTTGACCCACAGCCAATTGGCAATGTCCCAGCGCTGTAGGGCTGCAAAAAAGAATTCTGTAATGGAAGACCCCAAAAGTCACAGGATCCTAAATAGTAAAACGGCTTTCTGTACTGGAAACCATTCAGGGAGGGTTCTGTAGAATGTCCATCCATCCATCCGTCCGTCCACCCACCCCACCCCACACCCTACCCCACCCCACCCCACCCCCATCCCATCCCATCCCAATCCATCCATCCGCATCATGACACCTTGCACCAAAGACCAGCGCCTTCACTTCGGGCTGGAGAACGATGCGCCTTCCGCGGCTCCGGGAGGGCGAACAGGCCGCTGGTTTTGCATTTGCATTTGCTCTATTTTTGCCGGAAGGCCCAAAAACCCAACGTTTGCTGTAATAAGGAGCAAAAAGGCATGCTACCGTTTGTATTTAAACAAATAAGAAAAAAAATGGGGAAAAAAAAACGTGTGTATGCTTCAGAAAGAAAAAAAAACAAAAACATGCTTCCCAGTTGACTATGTCCCCCAATCTTCTGGCTTGGCACACATCGCCACGGATGTTTTCTCTATGCCCTTCGCTCCAACGCCTCACTCGCCGGACAAAGGTGGCCGGGGTCTGCATCAGAAGGTTCTCGGCCTCCGCTTGTGAAAGCGAGGTGCCAGGAAGAGGGATTCCGTTCGTCCTCCAGTTTAACCATGGGATACTTTCCCCGTGTGAGAAATATCAAATATGTTTATGCGTTTTCCAACCAATGGTCATCCCATGTTTCACGAACCTTTTGATCAACCCCCACATGCATCCAAGTTGGAATCCTCCTCAAACAATGAGCGCCCTACGCCCCTCACGGCCTCACCGCTTAGATTTGCGCGCAGCGCGCTAAGCTTCCAGCAGAGCTCCACATGCCTGGCATCAAACATCACAAGGCAGGCTCCAATCCATCGGGAACCCCGGAGTAATCAATCCCCAGTTGATTCAAATACAGGGGTGGCCATGGTTTTAGGGGTTCATCACTGTTGGAGACGAACAGTTGATTAATCCGAGGTCAGCATTCCTGTTGAAGCAGGCTGGGTAGAACCACCAAACAGCTTGTCAAAGGGAGCAAATGCCCTTCTGGTCGGTGGAGTGCAACGCAAGTTTGCCTCACGCCATTGAACGAGCGCAAAGGACCCTGCCAAGCTGAAAAACGTGTCGCATAGTCCTTCCATGTCCTCCCTGGAGTACATGCCTCAGAAGGCAACATCAGCATCATGCCTGTTCCGCTTGCCCGCCCTAGCCTTGAAGCAAGCCCTCACTCAAAATAGGGGTTGTTTCCTTTTCTTTCCCTTTAAACCCACCAGCACCAAAGACGCACCCGTATCCATGCAGGCAATATCAATGGGTCCCCCTAAAATGGTAGGCTTCCTCGTGTTTCCCTTTGAATACCAACCCAAAAAGGGTCCCTACAAAAACAATATACAAAAATGGCAACTCTCCCCCACGTTTGGGTTGCGCACCCAGCGAGGTGAGGATCTCGGGCAGAGCGCTGCGCTCCGCCTGCAGGATCTCCTTCCGGCTCGAGCTGTTTGCTTTCCCTTTCGATCAACGCGAGGGAAAGGATCGTTACCAGCATGTGTAATCATACTTAGTTGGTGGTGTCAAGGCACAAAAGATAAAGTAAACCGACTAGGCACAAAAAATGGAATCCCCAAAATGGCACCAAGAGGTAAATGGAAACAAAAACCAAAATCAAAACCTGCGTACCCCTACCTCTTAAATTTTGAGCCACACCCACCAAAGATTGACGAAACACGATGGTTACCAAACAACCATGGTAAGATAACCCAAGCCATGGGATTTTTGTTCGCCTCCCTTCAGCATTGTGGACACCTACTGAAAGGGGGCAATCCTTCGCAATGGTGTTGCCGTGCTATTGTGGTTTTCAAGGGGCACCACAAAAAAACAATTAGCCATTTTGTGGGTCCCCGTGGGGGACAATGGTGAGATAACCCACAAAAGCCATGATTATAACCCTCCCGGCAATTTTATGGAGAAGCTCCCAAACGGACCTCCCGAAATGGAGACTTGGCTCCATTTGCAGGATCGGCCAATTGGGGGAGCTTCCACGTTAGTCTGAGTTTGCCAACCAAGTTCTTGGGGAGCGAGTGATTCGGCATCTTGACATTCGAAGATTTGCTCGCGGAGCCTTCGGATTCGGTTGTAAGACAATGCAACCTTGCATGTAAGACTGGGGGATGGATCAATGCATGGCCATGGGTCAAAACCCCGTACCCCCAATGAACATCCCAATCCGACTAAAATAGACTAAAATGGGTGGTGCACCTACCCCAAAATGGTACCATTGGTTTTGACCCACAGCCACATAGCCGCCATCAAAATCCATCCCAAAAAGTTGGGGCCACCAGCACAGCGCCTTCTCCGCAGAAGTCACGACCTGAGCTTCCCATCAAACAGCCGCCAATGCGAGTCGTAAAACTTGTCCGTGAAGTGTCAGTGTGCGATGATACTCAAAAATCACACGTTCAACGATACTCGATCCTCTAGACTCTAAATAATGCTCTCATTCATACTCTCACACTCTCATTCATACTCTAAATGATACTCTCAATGACGTGCTCAATGAACAAAGCCAACTCCGCGGCCGTGTGACTCACCCGCTCCATATGCCCACCGAGCGCCACTCCGCCGAGACCTGACCTGAGGCCAGCTCCGCCGCGGCCAGGAAGAGGAAGAAGTGCGGCTCACCTGGTGCCCCGAGCGGCCATCGGAGGATCGCCGGATCGGCGCGCGCCTCTTTCCAAGTGCCGGTCCCAGAGCTGCATCGCCAGCCTGGGCCAGTGACTCCCAATCAGCCGAAGGTCGGAACCTTCGGATCCCGGTCCCTTCCAAACCAGAACCCCCCGAAACGTCGAACGGTTCCATGCTAATTGCTGGGAGCGCATCGCGCCACTCTTGACCAAAAAGAAAGTGCTGCATTGCTGCGAAACACCGCGCGCCTCATTGGCGTCTTGCTCGCAAAAAGCGTCAAGAACCACGGCATGCAAAACCTCGCGATGTTTCTCGATGTTTCTCGCATGGGCTTTGTAGCAGTGAGCAATCCCTTGCGCCGACTGTGCCGCTGGCATGTCCGGCGTCCTCGGACTCTAATCACACAAAATTCGCCGAGGTGCATACAATTTGAACAGACACACAAAGTCTAAGTCCGAGACACTCCCTTCTCCACAAACAGATTGTGGAGGTCAGGGCCTTTGCAAACTCAGAGCTACTGTGGATGGTTCTCCCGAAATCCACAAATCACACGTTCAGAAACCCAACGGTTTCCGACTCCGCTCAACGTAAATGCCAAGCGACACTATGGGCTTCAACCATGGCTTCAAAGTGCGAACGGATTTGGCCATGGGGCAGAACCTATGGCTCCATTTTGGGGTGGAAGAACATGCATTTGCCACCTATTTTGATGTTCACCAGGGGTTTCCAGGGTTTTGACCCACAGCCATTTCGCCACCATCCACAGTCTGCGCAGGTCTGCACTCGACTCCACGTGGCTGGCCAAGCGACCCGGCGGACTTCTTGGCTGGGCGCCCCGGCGGTGGTACAGTAGCAAGCGCCGGAAGAAGATGAACGCGCACTGGAGCGGCACCTCACGGTGAGAGATGAACAAACTGTCATGCTACAAACCCAAAAAGGTGGACATGTGAACGTGAAGGTGGGAAATGTGCTAATATTAGTGTCATTGAGTGATTGTGTGTGTCGTGCGTATCCCATGCGTGACGACTGCAACTTGAAGACTCATTGAGCATTTCTCAGTTGCGTTGAGTGTCCATTGTCTTTCACCAGGATAAGAAGGGGTCAGAGCCCAGCCAAATGGACACAACCAGAGCGCGCAAATGGACTCAACCACATGCGCTAAGCGTGCAAATGTGTAGCGCTACAATGCGATCGTTGCAGTGCGCAGTAGGTTACTGCCCTGTAAAATATGCATATGCGCTTCTCGCATACAAGTGCGCGAAGAAGCCGCGCGGTCAAGGCCAGCATGCAACTCAGGACAAGCCTCCGATATGGTTGGGTTTGTCTTATAGGGGAATCCCCAAAAGGGTGGGTGGTCCTTCTGGCTTTCGAAAAAGCACAAAAGAGGGGTGCCCTCGAAAAAGACGGACCCAGTTCTTGCAGCGCATGTTGGCGCACGGGACTACACAATTAGGTGTGGACATGCAACACGTGGGCTGTTCGGATGACACACATACGTGCTGCACACAGCTGCATGTCATCTCAAGCAAGAAGACAGCCAAGCATGCAAACCAGCACTGCAAACGCGAACACTGCACCGTACACGCCGCGTCAGCTGCACTGCTCGGCAAGCGCGCTAAAGGCTATCATTCACAAGCCCCCTGGCACCTTCGCGCGTTGGCCCAAAGACATCGAAGGAGAGAGAAGGAAACAGCAGAGGATGAAGGCAGAGCCCATTTCAAGGTCCGGCCCGAATAATTGCCATCCGCGGCACAAACTCCTCGGACGAGAAGAACCTCACATATGATCTGTTTTGCTCTCTCACCAAATGTCATTGTTGTGGACAGCATGTGGGATGGACTGCCACTGAGTGCTATCACGGCGAATAGTCTTTGACAAACGCCGTGAAGAGATCGAACACCTGCAAGCAGCACGAGAAGGCTTGATCAACGTCATGCCTGCCCAGTCTCAACAAGAGCTGCCTCATCGTCAGTGCAAGCAGCTGCATGCGGATGCTCTGGTGCCCTGCAACTTCGGGAAACAGGCCCCTTCGCTTCTGGCAAAAGCGCGGCGGCAGCGCTGCAAGTAAAGGAAGAGAGCCAGCACCTCAACGGAACACCGAAATGCCAGGCTGCCAGACACAGGCCGCAAGATCCTCAAGATGTGTCTTGCATCAATCTGTTTCCGACTTCTCCGAAAACCGCTTTTGCACACCTCGGCTTTGACTCGCGACACGTTAGCCCCCCTTTGACTGGCCTCATTGAGGCCCTGCTTGTATCTTTCCTTCTGCGTTCGGCACCAACAAGTCAGCATGGCCTGGCAAGCTTCAGACGAACAAATCGGTCGCGCCCCGACTTGGCTCCTCCATCTTGTCCCGCACCAAGGGCTGCCGGAAGTATTCCATGTCAGCCCGCGTGCGCTCGCAGTCCTGCCCAGACGAGCGTATCAAGCCCCTTGCAGCTCCAAGCTCTGGGGACCGCGAAAACCCACACAGACCACACACCCATGCAGGGTGTTTCGTACGCCGAGATCAAAAACCTGCACAATCCCAAGAGAGCAAAAAGCCACCCGGTCCGCACGAATGACCCTCTGGTTGGGCTCCTGAGCATTTCTGATCGGATTTGAAAGCGCACTTGCATGGGGATGTCATCTGCCATGGAGATGCGGGTGTCTTTTTTTGAGTTGGTAGCCCTGTTTTTGGGTTGTTTTTCAAGGGACACCAAAAGGAAAACGACCATTTTGAGGGGGTCCCCTAAGAAAGAAGCTATGTGAGCAAACAGCAAACATCACGACTTCAGGGTTCAAAGCCTTGACTTTGCTCTCAACGCTTCAAAAGTCATCCTCGAGTGTATGCATGGCTTGCCGGCCAAGGCTTTCTCCCTTGGGTATACGTCTTTGCTTGTGAAGCCAAAAAACTTTGGGGCAGTGATTCTGCGCTGAGAACAACAAAAAAACTGGAGAAATGTCCAATGCTGCTTCTGCTCGCTGCTTGGAATGTGAATTCCCGAAGCAGTTGCGCCTTTGTCATCGAATTAATATATTTTGAAACTCAAAGCATCGGAAATTCATGCTTGCTGGTATGGAATTAATTCATGCAAGACTGCATTCCGTTCATAACCTCACAAGTGCCCAAGCATCCCCCACGTCATTCACTGAAAGCACCGCAACACACGTGCTTGACATCCTTGGTATGCTTCCTCTGAGCTACGTTGTGCTTTGGCCACTTTGTTTGTGTTCCTTTGTGTTTTGCTTGGCTCTGTACTCACGGCAGCCGCAGCTGGCGCTTAATCAGCGCTACCCCGCACGCAGTCATCTCTTGGCACAGCATCTAAGACAAGAGGGAACGTCTTGGTTCATCAGAAGGAAGGGAGAAAACCCATTTGGCCTCATTCCTTCTGCCTTGTGGGTCCTCTTTTCCTGTGTTTCTGTTTTCCCTTTCAAAGCAGCTCCCCTTCAAAGGCAAAGTGGGAACCGCTGGGTCCGGATGTTGCGGCTGGAGAAGCGTTAGCTTCTAAGTAGAGCTGTCCCATGATCTTTGGCGCATTTGCACTCTGAGCACCCAGCATCGAGCGAGCCATGCCATCTGGAGAAGCTGCCTGAGGAGCCTGCAGCGTTACCGTCACACAGGCGCTCACATTGCTACATGGAGCTCTTTGCAACTCTGTCGGATCAAGCCTAGCGCGGAGGAAACGCGACAATTGACAACCAACAACGACTGCGCGGAGGAAACTCCTGCCTTTGTGACCGATCAGTCGCCGCCACCAGGAGTACAAGCGGCCTGGAGGCTGCAAGTCTTCACACTTCCACTCAGCAACAATAAGCGTGACATGGAAACTGAGCATCTCTACAGCTCCCAGTTCTTGCAACAAAGCTTCATTGATCCATGGTTTGGAGCTTCTTTCAAGCAACCCATATCGAGCAGCGCCAACCCGACATCATCAGCCCAAGACACCACCTCTCAATGCATGGCCTGAGCCCGAGCTCTCCTCTGTTGGAAGTTCTGAACCATCCTGCCGCCGTGCTTGATGCGAAATCCAACCCTTGCGGGTTCACGGTGACTACCTCAAGACTGCCTCAAGCTGTTCCAGTCGAAGGGGAGCTTCGAGCAAAAAAACAGCAATGAACCTTGTGCTTGGAAGCAGAACAAAAGCACGCTTGCTTACATTTCAAGCAGTGTCCTTCTCAGTCTCCCGTGTCTGCCAGCGCATGTGCTAGCTCTGCCCAGCCGATGATGACCGAGGGTCACAACACAAATTGTCCTGTGTATGGCTGCATGTCATGCACGACCCCCGCACCGCAAGATGTGAATATGCAAACGAAGTTTGCTCTCCTTGGCCGATTGTCTCAGCTAAGGTCATGAAGCTTGACCCTACAATCCTGCTGATTTTCAGTTCTGTGCACATCTTGCCGCTGCTTGCTTCTTCCGACCTGGAAACAACGCGCCCACCACTGCAAAGCCAAACAGCGGCAGCAACGCTGGAAGCAGCCAGTTATCTTTGCATGTGGCGCGGTTGCGATATGCCTCATGCTGTGGGTATCTTGCATGATTTCCACACTGGAAGCCAAGCACATAGACATAGGAAAGAAACCGGCACACGCAATTTGCCAAGCACTGCGACTAGCAATCATCTTGGTTTGATCTTCTTCTTGGACATGGCCGCCTGGGTCGAAGGCGCCATTGATTCGATGTTTGGCAGCATCTGAGGAGAAGCACAACGTACAGCATTCTGTTTGAAACGCATTAACTGGTGTCCCGGAAGCATAGACACACCTCAAACAATCCCTGACACTCCCCCACCTGATGAGCAACCGAACGTAAATTCTACCAGCTCCATGTTTCAAAATCCCTCCACTTCTTGCGAACGATGCTGTGAATTTGTGCTGTGCGTGAAACTGCGCGTGACGCGTGATGTTGCGCATACTGCTGCTCATGACGCCGTGCATGATGCTGCGCATGACGCTGCGCCCATGATGCTGTGCATGACGCTCCCTCTTGCGCATGCTGCTCTGCAACCTCTATTGTCTGCGCATTGTTTGGCTGCGGAAGAAGGCTCGCGGTTTCCACTGCGGAAGTGTACTTTATGTGCTACTTTTCCGCTTACAAGTAGAAGTTAATTCCTGAATGCGTGTAAATCAGGGTCCCAAATGCGATAGAAAAGAATTAAATCAGAAGTTAATTCCTGGAATGAGGGTTCCAGCCCAGGGGATTGCCTCCAGAGTTTATCCCAAGGTCCCAAATGCAAGGGCCAAGAATTAAATCAGAAGTTAATTCCCGGTCCACGGAACCATTCATTCAGAAGCATTATCTTGTGAGACAGTATTCTCTAACTTTTGAATTCACTCTGCTTCAGGATAATGAGGGGTAAGGATGATGATGAGGATGAGGATGAGGATGATGATGAGGATGATGATGAGGATAAGGATGATGAGGGTGAGGATGGTGATGGTGATGATGATGATGATGATGACGAGGGTGATGATGAGGATGATGATGATGATGAGGATGATGGTGAGGATGATAATGATGATGATGAGGATGATTAGAATAAGGGTGAGGGTAGAAATGATGATGATGATGATGAGGATGATGATGATGATGATGAGGATGTTGATGATGAGAACGATGATGAGGATGATGATGAGGATGATGGTGAGGATGATGAGGATGATGATGAGGATAAGGATGATGAGGGTGAGGATGGTGATGGTGATGATGATGATGATGACGAGGGTGATGATGAGGATGATGATGATGATGAGGATGAGGATGATGATGAAGATGATGAGGATGATGATGATGAGGCTGATGATGATGATGATGATGAGGCTGATGATGAGGATGAGGATGAGAACGATGATGAGGATGATGAGGATAATTAAAATAAGGGTGAGGATAGAAATGATGATGATGATGATGAGGATGAGGATGAGGATGATGAGGGTGAGGATGATGATGTTGATGATGATCATGAGGGTGAGGATGGTGAGGATGATGATGATGATCATGATGAGGATGAGGGTGATGATGGTGGAGCTCACGACCACGTCCCAAGTACAATGAAAAAATACATCAGAAGCCAATTCCTGGAAATGCGCTAGAAAAATTGTGATTCGGGCACGGACCCGTGACCAGGCACTTGGAGCAGTTGGGCCCAAAACAGTAACCAATTCCCGGTCCCAAAGATCAGGGTTCCCACACACAAGCGACCAAACAACCACAATCCAAACCAAATGGGAAAGGATACCCGCAATCTGGGTCGACAATGAACCGCACGAGCGCTCCCCACCAACCAGCCAGTCTCCTTCTCCTCCGACACGTGGGTGATCGACGTGGGGACCCGGCGACGCCCGTCCGAGGTTGCCACGGATCCGAACTTGAGCCAAACATCACGGGGTAAGTTTTCACTAACGCGACACACCCGATGATGCTTCCAACACATGGCTAATCACACACCCTGCACAAGCAGTCCAGCTTTGACGGATGGAGGGTGCCGTTTACTGATTGGAATTAAAGCTCACATGCGTCCGCAAACAGCAGGACAGTACCGCCATCAGCGGTGGAACCAACCCACATAGGCAGTCGCGCGACATCCCGGGCGCCACCACCCCGAATAGATCGGGGTAACGCTCTCCAACACACCCAGTGAAAAGGCCCACGCAATCACAATAGGTCACTACTGTTTGCATCAAAGATGCGAGTTGTATTCTTATCAGAAGCCATGTAGATGTTCAACAAAAGAGTTGAATGATAGCACCCTCGCCTATCGGCAAGATGTTCCTAGCACGTATCACCCAAAATTGGATTAATTTAATGGAATCGGAGTAACCTCCACTTATCCACATCCCCTCTCACTCGCACAACTCCAGAGTGATCTTCGCCAGCAGCCTAGCTGCGGTCCAGAAGAAGCATGATCGACACGCCGCAGCAGTGCGGGAGGACGAGGATTAAGCCTGTCAGCCGCCCCTTTCGTGACACAGCCCATCGGCGGTCATCACGCCTTCTACGGTCGCGTCCGCCGCGCGCCGTCCCGATGACCTTCTCCGCTCCCTGTCCTCCTCACTCGACAGGACATCGTGGCGATCCCTCCGATCGTTCTCCGATCGCGGCCATCATCCCTCCGAGGTCTGTAGCTGCCCCTCCGCGGCCTCCAAGCCAAGAGTCCCTCACGTCCTCCGAAAGTCTATCGACACCGGCCTTGAACCCGTGGCATCACCCCTGCTGCTCTCTGCCACGCACCTCTCCATGATGCGATTGATCACATCCAGCTATCAAGAATTAGGCGCCGCCCACAGCAGCATGGTCAGCGTGACCTCATCAGGGATCGCACTGTAGTAGCCCCTCGCTCTCAAGCCTGCCGCTCCACGGACCTCCGACTTTTTCGCCTTCGCTTTCAAGCCTACCCAGCGCAGAGTGAAGACCACTTGCCTCCCTGGCGGCAGACGCTGGTCTCTGGTCAACCTCATCCGGGCCTCTCGTTTTCCAGAAGGTTCTTCAGGGTCCCAGACTTCCATTGCCTGTCCCTCTTTTCCTCTTCCGCCCTCAAGCTTCATCTCAACCTTCATCTCTTCCTTGAGCTCAATCTTAGGACCGGCAGCCTTGACCGCAGGAGCAACCTCCACGCATGGGCGTGGGACCTGCATCAGGGACTCTCCTCAAAGTCTTCGCAGATGAAGTCCGGCACACCTTCACCCAGTCGGGGGCCACCTAGGATGGCCTCCTCATCCACGACGCTCCTGGAGCTTCGCGGGGTCGACGTCATTTTGCTCGTAGTCGTAGGTCACAAGCACGCAGGAAAGTCCTACGGCCGATAACCTGTGATTCGGGCACGGACCTGTGCCCAGGCAATTGGAGAAGTTGGGGGTAAACAAGCCACAAAAGTAAGGCCCAAAACAGTACCAATCCCCGGTCCCAAAGATCAGGGTCCCCACACACAAGTGACCAAACAACCGCAATCCAAACCAAATGGGAAAACGATACCCGCAATCTGAGTCGACAATGAACCGCACAAGCACTCCCCACCAACCAGCCAGTCTCTTTCTCCTCCGACACGTGGGTGATCGACGTGGGGACCCGGCGACGCTCATCCGAGGTCGCGACGGATCCGAACTTAAGCCAAACATCACGGGATGGTCACTAACGCAACACACCCGATGATGCTTCCAACACATGGCTAATCACAGGATTAAATCAGCGTCCCAAACGCGATAGAAAACAACTAAATCAGAAGTTACTTCCTGGAATGAGGGTTCCAGCCCAGGGGATTACCTGAGTTAATCCCGAGGTTCCAAACGCAAGGGCCAAGAATGAAATCAGAAGTTAATTCCTGGAATGCAAGGTGCACGGAACCTCAAACTCAAAAGCATTATCTTGTGACCTTGTGAGTTAATATTGTCTAACTCTTGAATTCAATCTGTTTCATGTTCGAGCTGGAGCTGCGAGAATGCGTTTTGCGCGCTTCCTTTGCGTGCAGAAACTTGCGTGCTACTTTTAGTGTTTAAAGATTACAAATTTCGAGCCGGAGCTGCGGGAGAGTACTTCTGCGCTCAAAAATTCAGATCTGCAGCCGGAGCAGCGAGAGCGCGCTTCGCGTACTACTTCTGCGCTGAAAGTTGAGATTTTCGAGCCGGAGCCGCGACCGCGCGATTGCGAAAGAAGGAGACGGCACGCAAACCTCCAAACACCACCTCGCAAGCAAATAACCAAGAAAACCACATGGCGCCACAGCGAGAGTGCGTCGGCACGCACGATCTCCGCAGAGGGTTCACCGCGAACAAGACACAGTCGCACGACAACACACAGAGCGCGCTTCGAAGCGCGCAATCCCCGCCGAGACCAAGAAATATTAGCGCTTCGACGCGCACGATCTCCGCACCGGGTTCGCCGCGACCAGTTGCGTTTGCCACGAAACCCATAGCATCAGAACGAAACACACCGCGCCCGCCACAAAAAAAATGCACGCCAATCTCACAGAATGCTACGCTGGCCATGCAATCAATCCGTCACACACAAGTCTGAAAATCAGCATGGCACCACAGCAAGAGTGCAGTCTTGAAGAAAGGTCCGTTTTATGCGAAGCTGTCGCGCGCGAGACACATTTTCGCGACAACTGCCAAGGCTTCAGAGCGCCGACTCTCCAACCATATTAGCCTAACCAAACAAGGCCCACCCCCTTCTCGCGTAGCGGCCCCAAAAACGCACTTTGCTCTCAGAAAAAGCGCATTTGGCACAACGCTTCCTCGTAGCCTGGGACTCTGTCCCTGGAGCACTTTGCACGAGACTGTCGCATCGAAGGCAACTTTCTGCGCACACTGCCAACACTTTGAGCGCGAACCCTCAATCTAACCCAGCCTTAACTGTAAACACTATTTGGGGAACTTATTCATGAGACCTACTGGTGAGCAACCATGCCTGTGTGCTGAATTGTTTTCTGCCAGCTACGCGAGTATGGCGAACAGGAACAAGCATGCTGGCTGCGGAAATTCTCGGTGCGCCTCCTTCTGGCGTGAAATCACCTGGTTTTCCGGGATCCAGAAACGGTCCGGGTTTCGCCTCAGCCAAATGCGCTCAACGAAGCAAGTTTGACCAGCGAGTCCGCAGAATACCCCGGGTGTGCGGCATTTTCTCTTCCACATGCGGGTAGCGCACATACATCAGGTTTTGGAAGACTTGCCTCACTGCCAGCGGAGCAAACCGACCAAACCTTTGAGTCACGTCCAGTAAGAACCAGAATAAAAAAGGTCTTCTTTTGCAGCACGAGTTCTTTAGTCAAGGACTTGCGGTTGCTTGTTCTTGGTGTTACTGCATACAAGCTTAGACACTCAGCACGGAAACCGTATTTTTCTGGCACGTGCATTGCCATTGCCTCGCCAAGTTGACAGGCTAATGGGCGGATGGGCTGACCTGACAGGCTGACGCCTTGAACTCAAGAGCTGTCAGCCTTGTCCAAATGGCCGCTTCTAGGCCAAAGCCCAAAGATCTGTACAACAACAACAAAAACAACACAATGTGCTGCTGTGGCAGTACTGGCTTCGCAGGCGATTTCTTTCTCCTGAAAGCTTGTTGGATTGACCTGCTTGTGGAGCATGTCAGCACCAACTGTGCTCAAAGTTGGCCATGCGGGTTTTTTGAGCAAGACTGTGGCAAATGTGACTAGGTTGTATGATCTTGGATCAAGAAAAGTCAGTAAAGCAAGTCTGTTTGAAAGCCCTCTCAGACAGGTGGTCACTCGCTCCGTGCATAGGAAGGAGGCGTCCCACATGTGTGAATTCAAACTCCTGCGGCCCTCACAGCTACCGCTCCCCCAAAAACGAACGGGGTCGGAACCTCGCAAGCAGAATCGATGAGCCAACCTGCCCCGAGAACCAGAGCAGGCGGCAGTCTTATAAAATTATTGTCGACTACAGTTGCATGTGGAACGTAAGTGCCTAGCTCCTACTGCGCTCTTGCAAATTCCCATACAGAGCTTGCAGCATCCTTGCAAGCACCACTGAAGCCTAAAGCATTCGGTCGTGCTGATCCACGTTTTCGCTTGAAGCACTCTGACATCCACCTCAAATGAGCAGTGAAGAATTAGTCTGGATTTCACTGCCTCAGACCATGTCAATAGCTCTGCCCTGCTCTCCCCTGCTCTCCCCTGCAACCAAGCAACTTAGACATCCCTGCACAGTCGGGGTGACACGCAAGGTGACAGCACAAACTCGGAACAAGTGTTGCAGGGCACCTTTGGAATGTCAGCTTAAACGGCGGTGTCAGCTGCGCAAGAGACATCACTTGATCTGCCTGAGCTGCAAAAAACTCAGCTCAATCCAGCAATGCTTCTGTGTGCGAGCAAGCATCTCCGCGGATTACGCGACCTGAGCAACAGCATACTGGGTTGTATAGCAAGCAAATGAGTGATGGTAACGACATCGCATTTAAATGTCGCCAAGCAAACATTTAGTGCACTAATAATGCATTGCTCCCTTTTTGGTCCATCCGGCCTCCTGCACTCCACAGTTTGTCTCCGACGCGAATGCCAGCACATTCTGCTTGACTGCCCGGGGTAACCTGCCGGATCGCATGCGTAGTATGTCCGCTGCCACCTTTCCAACACCTTTCTGTTGCAGAATCCGCACCACCAGTGCCTTCACAACATAGACGTCCCCATCGCGCTCGACCGTGTCGAACGCAATGCCAAATGGTTTGGACTCTACGGTGAACCGTACCTCAAGCTGAGTGGCCGTTGTCAAAGAAGAACAAAATGACCGCATTCAGCATAATTGCAGCAAAATCTCAAGGAGAAATCCGCTTGATTTCGCGTGCTTTTCCGGCTAGATCGTTCAAGGCCAAGAATTTCTCTGGGAAATCCCTTTGCCTGTGACGCTTAACGTGAAGCCTTCTCACACTGGGTTGGTTTAGCGGTTAGGGTAGGTTTAGGGTTAAGCGCTTACGGGGGTTGGTCCGGGGTAGGTTTAGGGCAGGTGTACGGGTAGGCGTAAGGTGGCCTTAGGATGAGGTTTCGGGTGTGTTCAGGGTTGTGTTTAGGGTTTGAGGGGTTCAAGCTACGCTCAAAGTTACAAATATGTTTAGGGTGGGCTAAGGACAGGTTTGCGCTTAGGGTGCGCTCATGATGGGGTTAAGGTGGGGCTTAGGGTTGGTTTAGGGTGGGTTAGGGTAGGTCCAAGGTGGTTTCGGGGGAGGTGCAGGGTGGGCGTAGGGTAGGCCCTTGCTTGCCTTCCTTGCTTCCTTGCTTCGTGCTTTCCCTTCCTTGGTCGGTTTAGTTGAGGATAAGCGTGTATGCTCAAGGTAGGCTTAAGGCATGCTTAGGGTAGGTTTGGGGTGCGCTTAGGGTGTGCTTATGGTGCGTTCAGGGTTGGTTTAAGCTGGGGCTTAGGGTAGGCTAGGGTGGTTTTTAGGGTAGGTCTAAGGTGGTTTCGGTGTAGGCATAGGGAGATAGTTTTGTGTCTAGGGTATACGGGCGGTTTAAGGGTGCTTGCTTGCTTGCTTCCTTGCTTCGTTGCTTTCTTGCTTCGTTGCTTCCTTGCTGCCTTGCTTCCTTGCTTTGTTGCTTGCTTGCTTGCTTGCTTGCTTGCTTCCTTACTTGCTTCCTTACTTGCTTGCTTGCTTGCTTGCTTGCTCGCTTGCTCGCTTGCTTGCTTGCTTGCGTGCTTGCTTGCTTGCTTGATAGCAATGAGACTGTACAAAGATCACTAAAAAAAGTGGAGAACAATCACACACAAAAAATAGCTCGCCTTTCCATTCCGTCTCCGGTCTGTGTTGATGTTGAATCCGAACGAAGATCAAAATAGGGAAGGCCAAAGGTGATTGGGTTGCTTTTGTTGTTTGTGTTTTTTTTACAAAGCAACTGCACACAGTGCAAGCATCCAGGTGCTTGTGAAAGCGGAAAGGATACATTGCCCCGGACGCAGCACAAAAGGCCCACAGGGGCAAAACTGGATCTAATCTTCTGCAATGAAGATCTTCTCGGTCTCACACTAGCTCCCAGCAGTCGCTTTGGCGCAAGGTCACAGAATGACTCGCTAAGAAAGCATTGTAAGAGCTACACACCGAAAGCCTATCCGATATCAAAGCATCTAAAGCCATATCAAGGCACGAACACTGCTAGTGCAAGCAAGCCACCACCTGTGTTCGCCTAGGCTGTAGCTGGAAACCAAAACACCTAAACGCCTAAACGTCACTCTGCGCAAGTGCTGAGAGCACACACCATTTGGTCAAAGCCGAGGCTCTTTGCTTTCACAGGCTTCTTGTAGCGGCCCGGCACCTCCGCAAAAAAATATGAATGTCAGGCTTCCGCTGGGTTCGAGACTCCGAGCAGGCCTCCACGTTGAGCGACTTGAGAGAAATGCCTTGAATGCACTGAATCAGTTCAATACATCATAAGTATATTTCAAATTACAAACCAAATTGTTCAACATCCAAAGCTATATTACCGATCAACAAACAAATTCTATCCCACAAAAAAAAAAAAAAAAAAAAAAAAAACATGCCGGGCAACTAGGGCATTTGGGATTTGCCTCGTTCTCCTGGCAAGCGAGCATACCAGACTGTACCAGACTTGATGCGGAGAAATGCGCCTGCAAAGGCTCGGTGCCCAGCAACATGAATGGAAGTGAGCTGAACCTCAGCGGATTTACGAGCTGGTGACACCTGCGTGATCGACTGTGGATGGCCGAAAGCCGAAATCCAGTTAGTTTTTGGTTGTTGGAAATGAGACAGCGCTTGCAGTTTTTGCCACCAAGCTTTTGTGGCTTGCATCAGCAATGCACGAACATATCTCTTGGAAGGTGCGTTCATATGGCAAAAAAAAAAAAGAGCTGAGCGAAACGTGCTGCCAAACTGTAGGCAGCTTGCGCTTGTCTCTGTAGGACCACAAAGAGCAAGAGAGAGATGCCGTCAATTACAGCATTGACATTCCAGCCACAAGGCCAAAAAAAACGACGGTCGTGTGTGGCTCAGAAGTCCACGTGGTAACTTCAAAGTTCAAGAATAGGTCATCGACAAGAGAAGCTGCCGTCCCAACTCTAGGGTCGCAAAGTGAGCCAAGCATCAAGCACCTGTATTACTTACTGTCCAACACTCGTGTTGTTGTTGTTGTTTTCACGACAACTCACGCAGCTCCAGCAAGCTCTGAGAGTCCGGCAAAGCAGCTGAGCTCACAATAACTAAATTAGCGCACCCTGTGCTTTCCGAGCAAATGAGCCAAACGCCAAAAAGGCCCAAGCCATGTGAGCGGTCAAAATTCCTTGTTCAAGAGAACATGGGAAATAGAATGGAGTCCCCATGTCCCCGAAGTGACCAATCACCGGTAATTCTCAAAAGCATGCACAATCGCAAACGTCGACAAGGCGGTCCGTCCATGGCGGCCATTTTCCGACTAGAAGCGCTTCGGGTCGAAGGGATCAAGGCTGACAGACCTCGCCTCCCCATCCAGAATCAGCTCCGACATTGCCTTGAGGCATACAGCTGGTGCGATTGGTAGGGAATGTGGTAATAAGCCCGGGGTCCCGTTAAAGGAAACCAGTTGGATGCTTTATAAGGGTCATTTCCTCATTCCCTCCTGAGCACCAGCGAGCACAGGGTGCAAGCTGGTGCAGGCTGGTGACAGTCCGCTAACTCCGCCATGTTGCTAGCCCACTTGCCAGGCTGAGAAGAATTCCCCAACAGCCATGACCTCCGGTTGGCAAAATCTGACTTGCCTGTTTGAAACTCTCCAGTGCTCAAACACTCCAAACGCCTGCGCGCTTGGGATCCCGGCCCGTGGCAACGTAGACATTCTCATGCTGCGGCGCCTTGCCCATGCATGGCTGGCTATCGCGAGTGAAGGGCAAATAGCACGACTGCTGCGTAGTGACCTGCGGCATCGCTGCGAGGCACATTGTTTGGATTGCCTTCCCAACACATCCTTCGCTGCAATGCCGCTGAAACTGGCAGCTTCTCATTCCCGCGCCACCTCTGCGTCGGCCATCTCCGAGCTGACCTGCTGCATAGTCTTGACCAGCCGCGAGCACACCTCTTGTCTCACCTCGGGGATTTGACGCCACCTATTGAGACAACATGGCATACCTGTGGTTCAAGCCCGGGGTTCAGCAAAAACGCGGAGTGCTCCGAAGACCATGCCCGATAGAAGCGAACTTCCATTCTGATAAGCATCTGTTCTTGAATCAAGATCTGTGTCAAAGACCCAGAGACAGAACTGTACAGCTGCTCCCAGAAACCGGAGCAGAACTGCCATTCTCGCGTGACTCGATCTGAATGCCCAGCCTCCACGTTGCCAGGCAGCTCTGCCACCACCTGGGGCGGGTCCGGAAAGCCTGTGACGTAGTGATCGCCTGGGCGATTCTTTGCCGTTTAAAAAAAAAAAAAAAAAACGTAGCCACATCTCCATGGCGTTCCAACATAGCCCCGTGTTGGATGGCTTTAGAAGGAAACCCCAAAAGGAAACCACCCACCAATTTGTTAGATTGGCGCCCGATTTTGAGAAACACCCATATGGCTGTGGGTCAAAAATATGTGCCCAAAATGGAACCCTGGTAAATGGAACCAAGGACTAAAACCTGCGGTCCAATTCCTGGTGGTTTAATTTTGACCCATACCCGTATCCAGAGAAGCAGCCGTTGTTCCTTGGGTAAACTTCTGGATCTCCCAGGCCAGCAAAGAACACCGCCTGGCGACCCCCCGAAGCGCTCAAGCGAGCAACGAGCCAAAACGCACGCTCGCTCTTCTTGAGCCATACTAAAGCAAAACATGCGGTACTAATTAACTGCAACAAATACTCCTTGGTCAAATACGCAATCCTTATCTATGAATCTATGCAAACAAATGTCCCAACTGCATGGCCAACATCCAGAGCAGTTGTTTTCACATGTCTGGCACCTGCGTTGATCGTTTCAGCCACTGCGCAATAGAGCAACCGGTGGAAACATTTGGAAAGAATTCTTGCGTGGCCCCGTCCGCCGCCTGCCTCATTCAGAACTCTCCCTGTTCGCATCAAGACGCTGTGATACTTCACACCCAGCATGCCACAGGCCTGAGAGCAAGCGTGGCCCGCCACTGACGAGCAAGAGCAACTGGCAACAACTTCAGAGGGAGAGAGAGGGAAAGAGAAACAGAAAGAGACGGAAAGAGAGCAGCAGGAGGGAGGGCAGGGCGGGAGGGCGGGAGGGTGGGAGGGCGGGAGGGCGAGAGGGCGAGATGGCGAGAGGAGAGGGGAGGGGAGGGAAGGGAGGGGGGGAAGGGAGGGGAGGGAGGGGAGGGGAGGGAGGGGAGGGGGGAGAGGGGAGAGGGGAGAGGGGAGAGGGGAGAGGGGAAAGGGGAGAAGGGGAAAGGGGAGAGGGAGAAGGGGGAGGGGAGAGGGGAGAGAGGGGAGAGGGGAGAGGGGGAGAGGGGGAGGGAGAGAGGGGAGAGAGAGGAGAGAGAGAGAGAGGAGAGAGAGAGGGAGAGAGGAGAGAGAGAGGGGAGAGGGGCGAGGAGAGGGGAGAGAGGGAGAGGGAGAGGGGAGAGGGGAGAGGGGTGAGAAGCAGAGAGAAAGAGAGAGAGGGAGAGGGAGGGAGAGAGAGAGAGAGAGAGAGAGAGAGAGAGAGAGAGAGAGAGAGAGAGAGAGAGAGAGAGAGAGAGAGAGAGAGAGAGAGAGAGAGAGAGAGAGAGAGAGAGAGAGAGAGAGAGAGAGAGAGAGAGAGAGAGAGAGAGAGAGAGAGAGACAGAGACAGAAGAGAGAGAGAGAGAGAGACAGAGAGAAGAGAGAGAAGAGAGAAAGAGAGAAAGAGAGAAAGAGAGAAAGAGAAAAAGAAAGAGCGAAAGAGAGAAAGAGAGAGCGAAAGAGAGAAAGAGCGAAAGAGCGAAAGAGAGAAAGAGAGAAAGAGACAAAGAGAGAAAGAGAGAAAGAAAGATGAGCGCCTTTCCCAAACAGGCTGCTTGAGCATACATATGATTGTATAAGCATGCAGCGAATGCAAACACGGAACTGGCACGGCTTGCTGGAGCACGTCGCTCCAGGGTCCCATGCACAACACCACAGCATCCGCAGACAGAAGCTCTCCGTCCACAATGACTCCGCTGATTGTTCCTTCGCTGCATGTAGGGAGGGCACATGAGAGAAATGGGTGGGTTGAAGGCAAGAAGTAGCAAGAGAAGGGGGGGCTTGACACAAAGCATGGACGTCAGCACTTCCCTGGTAGTTTTGAGGGTGAAGTGCTTTCAGACATGGCTGCCAACGAGTGCGGGGAAACGATTTGCTTCTGGCAGAGCTCGCCACTAAAGGCGAGGGCATGGACAAACAGTGTCCACTGCCAAGCCTCGCTCACCCTCTCTATCTGCATAGCACAGCTTCTCTACCACACCCTTCACGAGCTTTGATCCCTGCTGCTCACTATAGCTCCACATGGCATCGCACAACCTGAAGCTGCGAGACATTCTTGGGAATGCCTACACCCTGGAAAACCATACGTTTACCAAAAAAACAAGTTTAATTTTTTATTAAAAAAAAAAAATGCATCATGTAACAAGTCGATGCCAAATGCCAAACAAGTTTTGTTTGAATGCTTGTGGCAATAGTGAAACTGAGCACATTGACATGTTGAATTTAACCCTTGCTATAAAGATGCTTCTTTCCCCCCAATGATGTCCATGTCCCGCACGGGGGAATCAAACAACTACTGTGTATATATATATATATAAATATATATTTATACATATAGATACATTCATGAAACTTGTGTGCGTGCACATAAGTTGACATGTGCACCCGCAGACCGTGGTTGCAAGCGGCTCTTTGGGATGTACCTGTGCAATAGTGCTCTCATCGCCCATCAGCCGGGAGCCGCGAACGCCAAGGTCCGTCCACTCAAGGTTCTTGAGCTTCGCACCTCGAACAGGTCTCGAGGGTATCGAGTTGACACCCCCAAAATGGCCGTGGCTCAAGATTAAACAGGGGTTACACGGGTTTTGGTCCATGTTTCCACTTACCAGGGTTCCAGTTTGGTACCGGTTTTTTGTGCCACAGACAAATCCAGCGGTCCCATGGCCGAAAATTTGGACCCATAACTCAGAGACTCAGGACCTGGCCGGCCGGCTTTGAGCCTCGCAGAAGAAAGAAAGAAAAAGCCAGCGTGAATCCAGGAAAGTGGCGCAACACTTCGGACTTCCATACGACGATTCAACCTTCAAAGGACCAGGGGCCCACCAACACATCGATTCCAAAGCGTGAAATGTGTGTGTGTGTGTGCTAATTGCCCAAAAGGCCGAAAAGAATATGCAGTTGGCCATGCAGACATATCCGAGCGCCTGTACCATCCACGGCAACACTCTGGCATTTCAGACGGCGGTATGAACTCAAAGACAATCGCTTGGCTACCTCCTTGTGCAATGAATCAAGAGCTCAAAAGGAACTCTCCCCGAGCACCGCTCCACGCTCATTGCTGGCTGCTTACCTCTCGCTGAATTTTCAAGACATGCTGCTGCAGTGCTGAGTGCCGGGGCAAATGGCAAAGCATCTCTCGCACGAGTCCTCGTGCATATCAAAGCTTTTCTGCGAGAGTGCATCGGTCGGCGTCCCGGAATTCCAGCTTCGCGCAAGGAATCCGCCAGCTTTGCCGCTGGCCTGAGACGATCATTGACACGGGTTTCTGTTCCCTTCAAAAGTTGCAATTCACTGGGAGGTCCCAACAAGGGAAATGGAGGAAGCCGGGGCAACCTAGCTAGTTAAACAAATTCGTCAGGTAGCACCACCTCTCTCAATTGCCCTTGGGCCAAGCCAATCCAAGCAGCACACGAGGCAATTCCAGCTCGATCAACCACAACAGTCTTGATGCCCCGCAAAGCTAAGTGATAGGAGATGGACACCCCAATAACTCCTGCGCAAAAACATGGTGCAAATCACTGCAACGTATCAGTCCCCGCTTTGGCGCAGGTCAAGACATCATGAACAAGGCTTGACATCAGCCTCCTCCAAGGATGAGGATCGCCTGCCCCTCCCTGGAGTCCATGCTGGGCCCTGCAAATGCAGTAGCCTGGCCAGTGGAACACCAGCAGAACACTCCTAGACTGCTGGGTCCAGTGCTCCACCGAACGGCACTCGCTACATTGGCACAGCCAAGAAACTCTTGCACCACGCTCCAGGCCCAACTCGTGGCGTGAAACCGTTCCCGCCAGAGTCGAGTATGCCAAACCTGCAAAGGAGGCGGCAGGTGTCCTTACCTCCATGGCCAGTTGCAGGTGAGACGCGAGCTGTTGGCTCTAACCCACCGTGAACATGGTCGAAAGCTTGTGAGAGAAGGCTCCAGCAAGCGAAGCTACTAGCTCTTCGGCGGGCCCGCTCACGGGTGGCCCAATGATGACGCGACCCACGTATTTATTTTGGTAGACCAACCAGTTGGAGGCGAAAAGCAAACAGGGCAAAGTAATACGAAGGACGGAGCAAAAACTCCGCGATCAAGAAACCGATCATATGGCCCTCAAGCAAACAGTTGCTACAAACCCATAGACCTCAAAGCTAGAGACCCACAAACCTCCGCTTTCCCTGTGTTACCATGCTGGTACCACGGCCACATGTCCATGTAAGGCTTATCCGGAATGATCGATTCAAAATCACTTTGCAAAGATGCCTTAGATCTCCAACCATACCCCACCAAAACCGCGCAACCCATGTCGGAATTTGACTCATGAAGATGACCTTCAAGATAAGATGATCAAAGCTCCTGTGACCCAAAGCTCCTCACTCGTCGTGCCCTTGGAGACCCGCCTCGCAGTCCGAGGCCCAGAACCAGAGCGGCCAAGAACTTCCGACCCAACCGCCCGGCCATGTACAGAACCGCTCGCGGGGTCGCGGAGTGGAGCTGTTTTGCAGTGGGCTTCATAGAGCTGTGGCAAGCCGAAAGAAAAACAAAAAAAAAACGTCCTGTGCACTGACCTACATGTGTTTGGCAGTAATTAAGGGATGAAGTGTTTCACAACGATGGCGGCAAATAGATTTACATAACATATATATATATATATATATGTATACATATATGCTATTTTTGGACGGCCGAAATGGCTCCACGAGGCTTCACAGCCTCAAGAACCGCCAACGTGCCTTGCACCTAGTTGATGCTATCACATTCCTGCAATGTGTGTTTGTTGATCGGCATGCAATAAGCTGCGGCAGCTCCAAGCACGGAAGCCCAGCGTCCAATCTTTGCAGACGCCGTGCTTTCACGCACAGCGAGATGATCTCAAGCTCCCAATGGAAGCCCGAACCCGCCAGCTATGTAGATGTGGCTCCAGAATCTGGTGCTTGCCAGAGCGGGGTGCTGCCAGCTTTGCTGGCATGCAGGTGAATTCTCTCCAGCCTTTGGGAGAGACCCTACACACAGACAGGTTAGAACCTGACGAAACGCCTCTTACTTTAGTTTAGGGCCAGGTTCCATGCAAGTCTGTCGGAGACTTTGGGGAGCAATTGGGTGCCACCGGCTGAAAAAGCTCAAGCTGCTCTTGCCCCGTTGGGCTACAAGGTTGCCTCAAGAGTGCGACTCGCGCGCATCAGCTCACGCGTTCAGGCTTTGCAGCTTTGAAGATCGCGGTCGGGTCGAGGCATGCTTCAGAAACCAAGCACCTGAGGACTTCGAACATCCAGGCAAGGCATCAAGTTACATTGGCCAAGCCCCTCCAAGCAAGGCGCCTGCGACGAAGTCAGCGAAGGAGACAGCGCCTTAGAGTGCTACAAGGCCAACAGGTGTATCTCTTTTTGGGGGGGAACCCCTGTTTGGTTGCTTTTTCTTGGGAAACCCAAAGGAAGACTACCGTCTTGGGGGGTCCAACCCTAAAAAAGACGAGTCCATATTCTAATGGCTCTATAACTGAAACAAAATCTCCCTGCCAAGGCACGAGACTTGCCAGCCAGGATCGCAAGCAACACGCTCAGCTCGGATCCATCCACACCAAGCGTTTGTGCAGCTTTAGAGGCTTTATCCTACGCAACACCGGAGATTCCATGACATCATGCAAAGCAGATGACTGAGAGACTGGCTGAGATGTTGGCAACCTCATCAGGGTCCAGAACATTGTCCGCATTCGTATCGATGACATCAAAGACATTGCGCATCTGGGAAACGAAGTTGTTCGGTATGGATTCTTGAGACCTGAGCTGGTTGCCACTGGTTTTTCCATAGCACAGCTCAGCTCTAATGTGAACCGAGCCACGGCTCCTGCACCATTCGGCAAGATTCCGCCACCGCATCCACAACGAGGCCAAGGACAACGTTGAAAATAACAATGAACATCATCCTCAGTACAATCAGCTGGCCAGCTGGCTAACGCTTTCGCACCTCTGCCACGAAGAAAATCAAAGCCAAACGTGTCCCTTTCTGGCAGAGCCACAGCAAGTACAGCAGGAACAGGCCCACAGCTGGATACCCAACTTCGAGCCTCGGCTGAGCTTTTCACGTGGGGTGCCTTAGGGTTTCTGTTCGAAAACGACCAAAAAAAAGACGTACCCTGAAAAATAGACAGACCCACACCAAACTTCTTTCCGAGCGGCAGCGCGTCGCTCTGCTGGCCCCAAGACACACCCCAGCTACACTGCAGCAGGGTGTAGCTGCACCGGGGCAGGGATCCAAACCATGCCTCACACCCGTGGATCTTGTCAATGCGAATCTGGCCATGGGACTGGCATGGACTGATGTGTAAGAAAAGGTATCTCAGTTCATACTGACATTGAGCCATGGAGCCCATACTGACATCACTAGCTCGGATTGGTCCTTGTCGATCCTTGCACTCCCACACATCATTGCATCAAGCAACAACTGCAACGCTTGTCTACATCAATGAAGGTAGCAGCAGGAACCTTAAATGGAACCCTGGTAAATGGAAACATGGACTAAAACCTGCGGTCCCCCGGTGGCTTAATTTTGACCTGCAGCCATATAATGCAGCTGACGCCGAACCTTAGAAGCAGGTCTTCTTTGCCGCGTCGCAGCACCATGGCATTCTTCTGGTCCAGCAAGTCCGGCCAGGAGGGATTCTCAAAGTCAACTTGATTCTTTATCCACTCGGCGCAAATAGTAGTGATACCTCCATTCTTCAGGCACTTGCTCTTAAAAACGCAAGAACAAAAGCAAAACTAACAAAACATGCAGATCCTCAAGACAAAAGCTTTGCCGAACCTCGTCCAGGCACAGATTGAGGCTGCGAAAAGGGCCAGAGCCATGACCATGGTGGACCAGAACAGCGCGCGCGTACACTCCACTGCTGCTGACGCCTTCGCTACATGTTGCATGCCCTTTCTGGTTTGAGCTGTCGCCGGATATGCTTGTTTTCCAGAAAGCGGACCAAGGCGCCCAGCTGTGTAGCGGCTGGCAAAAGCGAAACAGCCTGCAAGGCGGCCGCTGTTTGGCTTTTGTCGAGTGGCAGAAGTTCTCCAGACATTCAAACCAAAGTGGTGGAACCTCAAAACCACCAGGTCCACCCCGCACCCTTGAATATCAAGGCATGGGCTTTCTGGCCATGTCCACAAGTACATGTAGTATGCACGGCGCCTGGCCACCCGAAGTACACGGAGCGCACGCAGGACAGGCAGTCCACCTTAGGGATTAAAAAGGCTGACAACTCCAAGCTCCGAGGGGGGAAATCACCCTGGACTTGTGGAAATAAGCGTTTGTGTTTTGATCACACCATGTTTGTTGGGTTCTCAAGCTGCGTGACGCCGAAAGCACAAGCATGAATGGTGGAAGCAGCAACTCGCAACGCAAGGCATGCATCGACCGCACCGTCAAAGCACATCCTTTTTGCATAAGAGAGATGAACTGACACAATGCCCACGCTCTTGCCTGCGGGCCATCCAGTTGTTCACACAATTGCATGCACAAAACAGCACACATCAATGATGAGTCACTCACATGACTTGTCATTGAATCCTGGCAACTGTCAGATTGTGTGATGCACATGCCAAAGCGTGGCTGCTTCGCTGCTTGGGAACCCTTGCCAGAGCGGGGTTGGCCCGCAACGTGACTTGGAGTAACATCAGGATGTATCAGTGCATGTGGAGGACCAAGAACGCCGGCCTCACCTCCCCTACGACTCGATTTGACAGGAGGAAATTATCCGACGGTCAATGTCAGCAAAACCTCTTGGGGTCCTATTGAATGCAGCAATAGCTTTCCTCCTGTTGCTTGGGCCCAGCCTGTCGGTTGCACTGCGGCTCGTCTGTTCCTTTTACTCTTTGACTCCTTCTTGTTTTGCAAGGGATAGTGCATGTGTTATCCAAAAATGACGGACCTAATACTAACGTCCTCCCCCCCCCCCTCCCCGCTTTCTATACAACCCCCGAACCCAATCCAGTGGAAATCGAGTGCCCTGAGTGCCTTCAAAGACACTTGACGTAGTCACAATGTAGAGCTCATCTATCCATGCCAGCAGGACGATCACTAGATCATAGAAACTCCACCATTTGGAATCACTGGTCAAGCACTCTTTGCCTTAGACCGCTGCATCTTCTGACCGCCATGTCTTGAGAAAGCCGATCCAGCTCAAAAAAGTCAAGAGACGAGCTTGCAAATGCTCCCAGAAAAGAAAACAAAAAAGAAGAAGACAACAAAGAGGAAGAAACCATAAAAGAAGAAAACAACGTCGTTCATCTGTCATCAGCTTACCGGGCCGCTTGGATTTCTCCGAGGCGCCAAAGGCGGCAATTTGCAGCAGCTCCAGGGTGAAGGCCGCAGTACACGCCCAGCTCAGCGCAGCAACCCAGGGCTGCCGGGCCTAAAATGTTGGGCTTCCCAAGAGGCTCTTTTGGTGTCAAACCACATGTTTCTTCAGGTAAACTAGTTGAAAATGGGTTTCCCAGGCTCCAAACGCTTGAAGCTGATGCTCGTGGCTTGGTTTCAGGGGAAACACTTCAATTGGGGCGATCGATTCGATCCAGGCAGGGTACGTCAGGCAAGTGGGTTACAACCGTGGTTATCACCCACTGAATGCAGACTTGTAACCATGGCTTTTGTGGGTTGTAACCGTGGTTGTTACCCACTGGCCAAGCACCCTGCCCTTGTAAGCAGACCTCGTATTGGTCGGAAGCTATGAATTCCTGTACAAGGACACTGTTGACCGTGTCCTATTGTTTTCTCGCTTAATATGATACGTTGTTGCTTCTGTCTTTTTCTCACGTTTAACTGAGACTGGCGACAATTTCATCTTGAGCAGTGTGCTCTCGCTGTGGTTTAGCGTGTCACCTGTCTGACTTGCAATGAATCACAGACTGCCTCTCCTTTCTGAGGTTGAGGGGGCTGGAAGGGGGGCGGTTGGATTCGGGCGGGGGTGGTTCTTGTTTTTATGGCTTGATTCTGAGCATCCACTCGTGTGACAACTCTCTGCTGCCAGCATGGCTTTGGCCTGGTGTACATCCCTTAGAGGTGATGTGTCAACTCTCTGCTGCCATCATGGCTTTGGCCTGGTGTAAATCCCTTATATAGAGGACAAACAGGGTTCCAAAGTTTGCTTGTATGTTCTCCAGATGTTATAGCTAGCTGTCCTCTACCTCAGTGGAATCGGGGTCCCTGCCAGTATCAGACGCAAAGAAACGTCAAGTGACTAAAAATATCTTTCACGTCGGAGTTCGGAGTCCAAATCAGAAACGTCAACCTCCCAAGGAAACTGCTGTCCAATAGCAAGACCTGCCCCAAGTCCTGTCGAGCCGAGCCGCAAACTCAGTGTCGAGCCAAATCACTGCCATGCTCAGAAAGGTGAGCAGTTGAGCAGCAATTGCGTAGGTCTTTGACGCAAAGAAGGTTTGAAGCTTTTCCTGCAGCATGCAGTGACGGAAATGCGTGACATACACTAGCACTGGCCTCGTCTAGCACTGCTTTCCTCGATTCAAAGCCTGCCTTTTCCCAATGTGTGCCAAGTCACTCTGCAGCTGCACTTGCCATGAGCTGTATCCATCTTTGCTGAGGAAAGCAGCTCACTTCTGGCTGCTTGTTCCACTTCTCCGGCCTCCTGCAAATTCACCTGGCTGACGAATGGACAAGAACGAAAAAATCCCCGCTGCTCAACAGCCTCTGCCCAAGTCTCAGCAAATCGTGCGGGGTGATGAATGTGGCTTCCTGGTAAAACCTCCTCTCGCAGCCACGAGGCAATTTGGATTAACCACAAAAAAAGCAAAGAAAAACAAATCCTGGAAGACATTTTGCCATCGTAGCTCATACTTTTCACATCCTGGAAAGCCTCACCGAAACCGAACCTTTCACCTTTCATTCCCTCAACTCTTCGCCTGGAAGCTGGCCAAGAGCACCGGCAGACCCACGGCGGGCACCGGACCCGACGCGCCGCCTTCCCTGGGAGCCAGCTGCACCTCCTCCAGGCTCGTGAAGTCCTCGTGAGACGAAGCGAAACATGAGGCCCTGAGGCCCGGGGTGCTCTGGGGCCCGCGGAGACCACAAAACGATCTTTCAGGGCCGGAAGGAAGCAAAACCATGAGCCCTTGCATGCAGAGACCTCTGAGGCGCGTGGGTGTGTGTTCTTGCACATATATTTTTCTCCGTCTGTGTCTCTGTGCCTATGGGCCAGTCTTGCCAAAAATCGTGGTAGTTCATATTGCAATCCGAGGCTCGGCGCACTCTGGCTCAAGCTCTCGGACAGCAGCGGCAAGCCTCAGCCGGGGACTCGAAGGTACCAAAGGCTTCCATCGTCAAGACTGGCAACGCTTTCGCACTGGCTATGTGGGAAAACCCGATCGATTGCCAATCAAGTCGGGGCACGTGTGCTGCAAGTGCTCAAGCTCCGCAGTACACAGGGCCTGGCAGGTGATCTGTAATCCTTGGGTCAAAATTAGGCGAGGAATTGGACCGCCAGGTTTTGGTCCTTGGTTCCAATTGCCAGGGCAACCCATGTTGCACCTGGACACCTCTGGTTGACCCACAGCCAAACTCACAGACTCGAAGAGCGATGCAGAATCCCGGAGGCCTCCAATCGTCGCTTGGCGGCCTCGAACTGCGCGGCCTCGCCAGTTATGCTCAACGGTGGCTGCTCCGGATACCACGACTTTGAAATGAGAAAAACGTGGCTCGGTACGGCTGCTCTGAATCTATGTTTGTACCCCTTCTGATTGTAATGCACAGCCCAGCCTGTCCGTCAAGAACTGTTGCCACAAGCTGCTCCAATCGCCTTGGGGCCTCGTTGCTTGCATCCTTACCAGATTTGATTGGCAAAACGCATCTCAAGGCCACCTCATCCACATGTTGCATTCCTGCGTCCCTCCATTGATTGCCAAAGGTGCAAGAACTTCTTTCGGGCAATCTGCAGCCGCCCTGGTCAGGGTTTCGCCCCAGAGGCATGTGCAAATCGTCCGCACGGCCCACACTAACGCGCCTCCTCCTCCTCATTAGCCTCTTCTTCCGTCTTGGCTTTGGACCTTGAGCATCTGCCAAAAATTCTGCAGATGCAACTGGATGGCAAAAGAACTTCCTGCGGCCCAGCAGCTAGTGCCCTCATCGAGCCTTGGATCACCCGACTTGCCAACTTTGCAGGTGTGGGTCAAAAACACATGCTAACCCCAAAATGGGTCGCCCTGGTAGATAGAACCAAAGACTGACTTGCTGGCTTCATTTCTGATCCACACCCATGCCACTGGTGTCGGGCAAGTGGCACCGACTTACCGACCCCTTGCCAAGGCACTCCATCTCCTCCGGGGCTTCCAAAGGCGACGGCCTGGGAGAAGCGATTGGTCCCAGCAAGTGATGGAGGTGAGTTCTGGAGAAAAGAAACAAACAAATGACCCACAAAAGAAAACTGCAGAATCCTGACGCACCGGCCACGGGAAGATGGTTCTGGCACGAAATCTTCAGCTGCATTTGTTTAAGCTGTTTGTAGCTTTCCAACAATCGTTTTTGCGAAAGGAATCACCAATTCATCTTCTCCCGCGCTTGAGCGAGTGCTCTTACCACCTGGCAGGCCTGCGTGCAGTACCGTGCTTACCACTTGGCAGGCGAGTGCTTACCATTCAAGGCAAGAGAAGGAGCGCTGTGTTGCGAGCAGGCTAATGTTGACCCCGGATTAATAAACCCCGGTTGATCAATATGGGGGTGTTCCCCTCCAAAAGTGATAGATCCAAACTAAAACCGCGAAACACCCCCACGTTAATAAACTGAGGGTTATTAACCCGGGGTCAACATTACGCCATCTGAAGTCACAGTGAAGACGAAGGCGAGGTGGGAACTGGAAACAGGAAAGTGGAAGGTGGCGAAGAGCGCGGGCCAGCAAGAGAGCGGACCGGCGGAGGCTGGAGGCCGTAGCATAAGGCAACAAGAAGAAAACGAGGCATCGGAGCCTGCCATGTGACCAGCGCCGCACTCACAAGCGAGAACCAATGTCAAAAGGGCCGCACTCACAAACGACGTCGAGGCGCACTCTTAGAAAGACTTCGTTCTGTGACTCTGAGAGCATCTTCTTTGGAAGCAACGACCCAACCAAAAGAACACCCAACAGACCCTTGTGAGTCAGAATCAAGACCTGGTACTAGCACCGGGTATACCCAGAATCACCTCGCACCGAGATGTTCCGTGACCAATGTGAGTCAGAATCAGAACCTCCTACGAAAACGGTCGGAACCATCTTGGAGAACGATTTCTGCAACCAGATCTTCCACGGGCCAGCTCCCTGCCGCCCAGCGGCGCCGCGAGCTCCGGCGGCGAAGGCTCCGCCGGCGGAACCTCCGGCGGCTCCGGAAGCTCCAGGCCTGAAGCTGAGACGACGCGCGAGACGGGCGCGAGCGCTTCGGGGGGTCCGAAAAACCGGCGCCACCCGTCTTCCTTTTTGGTTTCCCGCTTTGGAAACCCGCAAAAAGGAAAACAAGGGGGGAACAACTCAAAAAAAGGGACATAGTGACAGACAATATCCGAAAGTTCGTGCTCTCTGGAGTTCCCCCCCCTGACCCCTGCAAAAACCACCTACCACACGTTGCCACACCGTCCCAGGTGCCTCTCTCGTGATCTGCTTGGTGCTGGATCTCGAAGTTGGTGCAGCCCCCGAAAGTTGCCTCACTCCACGGCCTGCACCGCTCGGCTTGCTGGTGCGCGGTACGTACGGGATGACCCTTCCGGGTGTCGGGAATCCCTGAAAGGAAACCATAGGGGATGGTTATCCTCGGGGTCATCCCTGCTCACAACCAACAATTACAGCAAACCAACCAGGGAGTTGCAACCTCAAAACGGGTGCTCACTGCTTTGAGTGGATGGCCGGGCTTCACTCAGCGCACTTCCGCACCTGGAGCCTTGGCTGGCCAACTCGTCGTCCGCAATCGCGCTGCCATCCTGGCAAAGCTTGGCCTATCGACGTCAAACGACGGCAGGTCCGCGCCTCGCTGGTGACTCGACTCATTTCTGGAACCCTACCGTGCTCATCTTGAACCAAAGGGCTCCGAAGCTGTACGCAAGCTCGTTGGGATGAGGGGGGTCTTGGTTCGGCTCTCTACTGCGCAAGCCCAAGCACTCCATTGGACCATGCCTCACATTCGACGTCCGACTTAAAGAGCGAAATCGGGTACTTAGGAAGTGAGCAAGAATCATAGATATAAGTTATAACCCACTGAAGGGAGACTTGCAACCATGGTATTTGGGTCATAACCCACTTACTACCCGCTCGCCCCTTCAGGTCAGCGCCATCTGCCAGCCGCGCACCGTACCGAGCGCCCGGCATCTTCCGCTGCTCGTACTCTGAGAGGCTTCCTAGGGTTTTCTGCTGTGGTGGCGTTGCAGTCTTCGGAGTACCGGAACAAAAAGTAAGAAAGATCCTGGCTGTGCAGTCAGCCCAAACCAAAAAAAAGCCACAAAATGAATGAAACAAACAAGATCCTGGCTGTGCAGTCAGCCCAAACAAACAAACAAACAAAAAACAAAAAATGGATGGACAGCACCAAAAAACTCATCGAATTAACCATCATGCGAGACATAAGGTGGCACCATAGCCCAGAGATCTGCCTGGCGCCTGGTATCTCAAAAGAGGGCAAACATCAGTCTGCCGAACTTGAGGTTGACAACCCTTGCTGATGCGCAGTAGGGAATGAGAAATGGAATGACCCCCATAAACAATCCCTTGTGCCTTCTTTTGAGTGGACCCCTGGCTTCCTTCCCACCAACCACAGACTTCAGCTGCCGCCCTGCTCAACCTTCGCGCTTTTCGAGGCTGCGGCGGAAGATCTGCGCGCGGTAGCGGTTGTGGAAAAGCAGCTCCTCGCGAGTTGCCCGAAACTTTCGCGGTGAACCAACTCATGTGGGTATGGGTCAAAATGAAACCACCAGGTGGGACCGCAGGTTTTAATCCTTGGTTCCATTTACCAGGGTTTCATTTTGGGTACCTAGTTTTGACCCACAGCCACAGGAAACTGGGCTCACCCTTCCCCCGAAAAGAAAAGGAAAGCAAATGTGAACCTTGCCATTCCGCTCAACGAAATCTTGTTCATCAATGATGCTCGTGACTTGCCAGTGGAAAACTCTCGCCTAGACAAAAACGGGGGTTGCTTGCGGGAGAAGCAAATCGCCAAATTGTCTGCCTGCCTCCGGGACTTTCTCCGGCTTGGAAGCAATGGCCTGGCAAATCTCCGAAATCCCAGGCCAGTGGGGATCTCTCAGAACTTGGAACGGATCTCTCAGAAAAATTGGTTGCAAGTTACAGGTTGCTTTGCTGCAACGCCACAGGTTCGGCTCATTGCCCCGCTGCGACACCTTCATCTACCCAGGTTTTGATTGTGGCTCTCATGATCTTTGCCCCCCCCTCCTCCTGGTATAAGTCTTCGGGAAGCTGCTGCACAGCACGCCACCTTAGAAGGCGCTCCCACCGCTTCGCCCCTGGTGCTTCAGCAACATGGGGACGGGTCAAAATGAAACCACCAGGGGCACCGCGTGTTTTAGTCCTTGGTTCCATTTACCAGGGTTTCATTTTGGGTACCTATTTTGGACCCACAGCCATGCGGCTTTTTCCAGATAAGGCGGGGCAAGCATGAGTGAATGGTCACATGGGAAAACCAGGGCAAGCACGGCTCATCCGGCATTTGCTCCAATGCCAAGCACCCGCCGGAGGTCATGGAAACGCAGACTATCCGAGCTGCCAACATGCGGTGTTCAGCTCGTTCCTCTTGCGCCTGACTTGCTGCACATCTCAATGCGCACGAGTCAGAAAAGCGGCAAAAGGTCTGCCAAGTCGACCAAACATAAAACAAGAGCATCGCTTCCAGAACCTTCCAAATCACACGCTGTTCAAGCATCGGTTCATATCGGTTCAGAATCAAGCACGGGCCTTGTACATGTGTCTGGCCCTCTCACACATGGTGTCGAACTCAGCCTTCATTGTCTCATACTCCTCCTGGCATCTTGCAGACATAATCTGCTCCTAAACGAATTCCTAGGTCCGCCAGTAAAGAGGTTGGAATAAGGGTACCCTTTTTTCTGTAGTCAAAAAAGGGTAAAAGGGCACTACTGGGGGACCTAGATTCTGAGCTCGGGACCCGATCTGCCATGTTCTCCTGAACACCAGCTGGCCAGGCTGGGAAAAGCAGCCCACCCCGCCTGAGGTTCTCGTGGAGAAAACACCAAATCCAAGATGGCCTGGCGTCGTCTGGCGGATGGGCTGCTCTTGACCAACGTGGAGAGCGGCCTTGAAGCGACTCTGACTCTGGAAGAACTCCCGAGTCTCTTTGGTCAGCTCGTACCTCGCTGCGTCGCAACTTCTCTTGAAGGCGACGAATCCCTGAGCCCCCGACGGTATGTGAGGAGCATACTTCACCTCCACCCTGAGGCGATGGCATGTCCAAACTCGACACTGCGTGAAAAAAAAAAACTGCGCAACTCGTGAGCAACGAAGTGTTCGACGAGGCGAAAAAATCCACGTCGTCGCCCGCGCAGCTCCCCCTTTTTGATTCTTGCACATCCCGCGCCAGCCAGCTCCTTTGCTGACAGAGCTCCTGTGCAGCGGGCAATCAGACTCAGAGCGCCGAATCGCGGACAGTAAGACGTTGGCTGTGGCTCCAAAAACCGGGTAACCCCAACATGTGCTGCCCTGGTAAGTGGAAACATGGGAACCCAAAACCTGCGGTTTGCCAGCAATTTTGAGCCACATCCAGATGGCATAAGAGAGGAAAAACAAAACCCCCAACAGGCGATCAATCTGGCATCCGCTTTCAAGCCCGAACCATGACTTGGTTTTTCCGTCATGTTCGCACCCAAAAACGCAGCCTTCCTACGCCATGGTTACTGTGATTCATGGCAGGGCCTCCTTCTCCAATGACTCTAACTCAGGCAAACCCCTTGCCGCAATCATATGCTATCTTAACCTTGCTGGTGCTCAGCAGGGAATAATGGCATGACCCTGAAAAAAAGAACACATCCAACTGGTGGCTTCCTTTAAGGGAAACCCCCAGGTTCATTCCCATATTTTCCCACCCATCCCAGCGATCGCAACGTCTTCAGTCCTCCACCGACTTTCCACGTCGCAAGGCGCTGTGAGCCTTTCGGAGCTCCTGGCCAAGGCCCACAGATCAGGCGACCTCTGCACGCAGAAAGAAGTTGCTCCCCGAGTCTGCAACAATAGCCTCCCAAAAACCTGCACGGGGGTCCGCTGACAAAGGGAACATGGTCTTCCAGGAAGCCCTGCGCAGGTTCTATGTTTGGCTTTTTTTTGGGGGGTACCTGGTCCGGAAAAGAGAACAAATGACTCGTTCTTTCCATCGCCTCTCGCAAGCGAGCGAGCTGGCCGAGCTCAACCTCGGTGTCCGTTCTTCGAGTCTTGCGGAAACTTGCTTCGCTTCCTGTATGATCATGAGTAAATATCAAACTCGGGCCGCCGGGCATTCGCAACGTCCTTGCCTGCCGGAACAAGCAACACCTCTTCGCAACGTCGACCTTTTTTTCAGCTCCAAGGATTGTCTGTCTCACGTGAGCATACGGCATACGGCATACGGCATACGGCCTGGTTCAAATGGGTTGTCAATGAACAGGAACTTGCCGGAGGCCCAGGAAGGCGGATTGCCATCCACGTTGCGAATCGAGACGATGCCGCCCTTGTACCTAGCATCTCTCTCTGACCGCCAGACCCAGACCTACAGACCTCCGGCACCAAGGTCTATCTTTCCATTCTTTCCAGGGATCCTTCTTTTCAGGAAACCATCAAAAACCCAGGGGAAAAAAAAGCCGGTTTGTCAAAAGAACGATGGTTGAAAAGAATGGACAAGGAATCAACCCCTAGAGCACTCGCAAAGGTCACTCCGTGCCGTAAAACTTGAAGAAGTCCATCAGGCACGCTCCCAGGCTGGGACTCGAGAATTTGGCCCTCTCCTCGGGCTCAGAGTCGTATCCCGTGGCAAGTCAGCAGCACTCTGGGTGTGTCTTTCCCGAAAATGCCCGCGTTTGGATGGCTGGAAAGGGAAACCAAAGGGGGACCGACCCATTTCTGAGGGTCCTGGAGAAGAAAAAATAACGACATACGCTTTTCTCAGCACCCGCTCCTTCTCCAAAATGGCAGAGTCAGTACAAAACCTGCGACGAAAAGCATGAAGCTCATGTGCTGCAACCTGCTGCTCGGTTTCCTCCATTTCCCTTTCTGGGTTACCTCCAAACGTGGCGGTCGTTTCGTTTCAAGGCAACCACCAGTTAAAATCCATCAACTTTTGACTTGGGGACGTCCAAGGAACACCGCAACCCTGTTTTTTGTTGGGCCCATTTTTGGATTTTCTTTTTTGGGAGGGGCGAAGGGTCAGACGCGCCTGCAATCCACCTGCTGAACTTCCCGCCGCGGCAAGCCGTGCAGAATCGCCAAGTCTTGGAGCGAAGGCAGGCGCTGCCTCCTGCAGTTTATTCGGTGCGTTCCTTCGGTGCAGTGATGCTCTTGCAGGAACCTGCAGGTGTGTGGGTGTGTGTGCCTGCGGAGGTGGGGGAGTTGGGGTGTGGGTGTGGGTGTGGGTGTGGGTGGATGGGTCTGTGTCTTGTCTGTGCGTGCGCCTCCTCCGTGCAGTGCGAATTACCACTTGACACGCCCAGTCCTTTGAAGAAGGTGCACAACCATGAGGGTCAATGCAAAGGAAGAAAGCGTTCCTTGGCATCAAGTTCAAGCAAAAACGCAGGTGAGCAGGCTTTCCTGGCCTTCACTTCTGTCATTGATTCCTCGGGCAAATGCCCAAGTCTTGATGACAATCAAAAGCTTCCGCAGGAGAGGCTCTGCCATCAGGTAGGCCGTCACCAGCCTGGACAGCACAATTCAAGGTGAGTTGCACAAACAAATGTCTCTGGCCACATGGTGAAGTGGATGCACAAAATCAGCCTGGAATTTTCCACCGCCAGGTCGTTGTTCACGGTGATGTCGCAGGAGGGAAGGATGGCCTGGACGCAAACCGCGCCCTTCGGTTCCAGCGGTTCGCCGATTCGCCGGTGCCCGGCCTGAGGCACCCAGCGGAGCAACGGCATCTTGGCGGCCAAGCGGTTCTCGGGCTTGTCCCCCGAGAACCTGAGGGTGTCAAGGGCGTGTCCACACAATGTGGAGCTCCAATTGGATGGCTCAATTCTAACAGGTTTTGGGGGATCCCCAGAGCTTGTTTTGGATGGCGTACAGGAAACCAAAAGCAAACTTGCGAGTTTTGGGGGATCCACTTTCCCCGCCGAGGGGCCCGTGGATCAGCGACGCCACGCGATGCAACACCTGTTTGGTCTCAATCCGGCCTCGCAGTCCCGGGACCTGCAACTCACATAGGTGTCCTTTTAGGGGAAATAGATGGGTTTCCCTGGTGGATGATCAAACCACCAGGTAAACCAGGCATCGCTCTCTATTTTTCTACCCAAAACCACCAAAAAGGACACCTCTGGGCAACTCAGCGGTCAGACGAAACTCAACCCGCCTGAAGGCTTAGGTCCACATCACGGCCGGGCAGCCAAAGGCCTTTCCGAGGCCACAAGGACAAACCCCAGCACCAATCCAGCAACCCAAGAAACCCGAACAGAACTTGGAGCCTAATCCACATGTCTTAAACTGGACTCCAACCAGAAAATCTCCGCAACATGGTCCTAGAGCTGCCAACTCTGTCTCAAATCCACCCGCGAAAGCCGGCAGCCAGCCCAGCGGCCGTCCAATGCCGAAAATCCGTGGGCCTGTGGCGGCAGAGCCGAAGGTCACCAGGTCGCACCTGGGCAGCTCCGCTCGGATGCGGCGCCGCAGGTCCTGCACCATGTCGTCCCGCTGCCTCTCCTGCTCCTGGCGGCCAAGGCCCGAAAAAGACCCCAGGTGCCACGCGGTCAAAACGCTGGGTCGGGCAAAAAGATTGGGTCACCCCCAGAAATGGGGTGCCCAGAATCTGCGAAAAATAGAACCAAGGACTAGAGCCTGCGGTCCCGCTGCCTGGTGGTTTAATTTTCACCCATACCCAAACGAACAACGGGGGCAGCATGAAGACATACTGCGGACTGACCGCCGGATTGCGGGGCTTGTACTCCTCTGAGGGCAGGAGTCGCTCAATGAGTTCCTCCGCCTCGAAGGTAAGCCGCGCAGCTCGCCCGCTTGCCCCCCGTTCCTACGGAAGACATGAGACTGAGACATTCCAACGAGCGGAATCCAAAGCCGACGGGGCGTCCTTGTGTGACGAGGGAGAGCTTGGGGCATCCGCGATGCCGATGCCTGCAGGACTCCGAAAAATTGGGGGCAGTTGCCACTGTCAAAGGTGCCTTTCCTTGGACATTGGGCTGCTCATGGCGGTTTGTCTTATGCGGCATAGCTTTCTCTGCCTTCAGCCTCTCTGCGGTCCCCGCGCGCCGGCACCTCAGCGGCGGGACTCTGGTGCTGCAGCTCCCACCGCACAAAGCAAGGCCAAAGACCTGTCAGCTTCGGTACCGGACCCACTGAGATGGTTGTCCTTTCAGTGTTCCCTGAAGACCACCGAAAACGGGGCACCAACTCAGAGAAGAAAAACGGAGAAAAGAGGCGAACCAACCCATGTCACGGTCTTCGGAGCCTTGTAAAGGGAACGAGCAAAACTGAGTCCGGCACCCACGACAACTGAGGCGGAGTCTCGCTGGCCTGCCCAAATAGGCCTACACTGGGATTATGTCGCAAGTCGCTGTAAACTTCCAGCACCATGTTAGGCATCGGTTTCAAGGGTCTTAAGCAGACTCTTTGACAGCAGGTCTTTAAGTTGAGGCGATCGAAAGACTTAGCTTTCACAAAGCTGTGTAGTGCTAGTGGAGGTGAATAGGAAAATATTGCTTCCCGAAAATAATCCGCTTGTGTCCTTCATGTCCGAAAACTGACATGCTATATGTGCCCTGTTCGGTGCAACAATCCATGTCGGACGGTGGGACTCTGCCTGAATGCAACATGTCGTTCTGTCAGTATTTGTTGGCTAGGCAGGATATCATTTGCTGCTTCCTGCGAGACACAATGGCGTCCTCAGCATGTCCTGCCGAAGCTGAGCGTTGTGTGTCCGCACCAGCGTGTCTGTTGGATCCGACCCTACTGGAAGATGTGGATGCGAGCCGGTTGTGCAGAAGCTTGAGAAGTGCTGGTTTATGTAGTCTGCAGAAACAATCGTTACTTCCTGGAACTCTGTTTACTTAGTCCTTCAAAACGAAGAACATGAGTGTGTATCAACTTTGCTCAAGAGAATTCTAAGCCATGCTTCCATGAATCAAGATTTCTGACCAAGGAAACTCTGCTTAATATGTTGATACAACCTGTGCCTTGGCGGGCACATGCTAGCAACTTTGCAAGATAAGAGTCACCTCTCAACGCTCACCCGCCTGTCGTAGCTGTCGCAACTGACGCAGCAAGCGTAAGCTTGTAGGCTTCAGGCGGCCAATCATGGCATGCGAAATGCGTACAGTGAACACCAAATCACGCGTTCGTGCTGGCAGCTGGGTGCCACCACACTGCTACATAGCTGGGCTGTACTCCTGTCGATGTGTTGACTTACAGGACGACGCAAATCTCTGGCTATCTTTGCTTGACCCATGCAGTGTCTGATCATTACATTTGGAACAAGGCCGCGCAGAAGCCGTGAATCAGCCATGCCAGAGCTGCGAATTTTCGCTGAACCTACCCCTCGAGGATATAAAAAGCTCAAGCCGGCATTGACTGCATTGCATCATCCATGCCATTCCGATCCGGTCTGAGGCCCGCGGCGGAGCAGCTTGCTTCCTCACTTGCTTCGCCTTTGCCTGCCGACTGGAGCCCTTAAAACCTGTGCACCTTTTGCGGCGCGCGAGTCACACGGCTCGGCAAGCCGGCAAGCCATGGAGACAAAAGAAAAACAAAAAACAAAGAAAAGAAAAAAAGGCGCACGCGGCGCGGGAGGCCTTCTTCTTGGTCTGTGCCAGACCTCGAAGTGGCAAGACCCGCAAACAGGGAGTCCTCACACAGTCCATACAACGCAGAAGGACCATTTCGACACACGAAGTCCTCAGCATAGCTCCCTGAGAAATTGGTCTACCTGCAAGGGACTGTGCTCCCATCTGGACTGTTGTACAGTAGCTTCCCGTGCCTCGTCAATCATCCATGTTGCGATTGTTCAGCAAACTAAACACGTGCCACGAGTGCGACTAGCTCTAACTGGTATGCAGTTTGCCGGTGATGCCAAGCATGAACCATGACTAGAATTAGCTCCTTGTCAAGTTGTACGAACGCTTGATGGCACAATCGCCAGCTGGAACTTCCAGCCAAAGTGGCTTTGCTGCAGTTGCCCATGCGGGTTTCCCAGAGCAAGCATTCAACATGCCATTCAAACGCTGCTGAATCATTGCAAGTTACTGGACGTGCAAGAAAAGCAGGCTTTCTCTTTCACATTAGCCAGGCTGATCAATCTGCATCCGCAATGGAACTGGTGCGTGTTTGATTGCATCACCGTGCCTTAGGTTGCATTCGTACGAACCAAAGTCGGTTTTCCTGCAAGACATGCTGTATTGCAGCCTGGGCGCAAGGAAAGTGGCTTTTGCAGGTCCCTCGACACAGGCTCCTCAAAGATCCGGCGCAGCTCTTCATCTGTCACTTGGTCAGGCCGTACCCGCTCGTGAAAGAAGTCACGATTCTGTACATCCTCTACCATTTTCTCTGAGTGAGTTGGTTCTCTTTGCCTCAGGCTGGACATGGCCAACGCTTCTGCCTTGGCCATTGCCAGCGCCTGCTCTGCGTCCTCGAGAGACGCAGCGGTCGTATTCAAACTCTTCGCATGCGCCGCATGCGCGTAGGTGGTGTCCGGCTGGTGTCGCTGCGCCGTCAGGAGGGCCACCATCTCCCGGCGGCTCAGCTTCCGCAGCAGCGCAGGGGCCACAAAGCCCCGCAGCAGCCGCTCGGCCACTTGAAGCATCTCCTCGTCGGACAGATATGCCCAGCCTGGCAAAACCTCATTGGACGGCGATGGCCGCGATGGTGTCCAAGACGGCGCGTGTGTCGGCCGTGGCTGGGAAGGCTGTGATGGCTGTGACGGCTGTGATGGTTGTAATAGCCGGGGTGGCACTTGTGGCGGTGGTGCTTGCCGGTAGGCAGGCAAAGTGCACCGAGTCACTGCAGGATGCGTCAACAGCCTTTGGGCGTGATACGGGCGTGGTGCGCAGGACCTGCAAGGCAGCTGCGGCGACAGCGAGGAAGCCTCAGTGACAAGTCTGGACTCATTCCCTCAGACTCGAATACCTGCCATGTGGGGACCCTGCCTTGGCAGGCAGCAAAAGGCTAAATGCAGACCTCATATGCCACTCGCTGCACTGCAAGCAGCACAGGCAACAGCTGATGTGCTCTTGTGTGTCAGATTGCACCAAGCTTGCTGCTGGGACATGACCGGCCGCGCCGCCGGCCTGAGCACAACTGCCATGCCTTCAAGATGATCAAGAACCTGGTTGCTTGCAAACCCAACAAGACCTGCCTCTATTTTGCCCTGGGCTGGCTTCGCCAATCAAGTGCAGGGTGAAAAGCTCTGCAGTTGGCTGCTATGGCCGAATGCGTCTACTTGTGTTTTCTGAAGAATGTGGCGCAAACTCCGCATCTCAGCCTCGCCATTCCGAACCTGCTCCTTGGTACTGACGAGCTGTACATCCACTGCGGCAAGCTTGTGCACAGTAGTTGAAAGTGTTTTCTTAATACCCTCCACAGCTGGTGCTGCATCCTTCAACTGCTGCATACCAACGTTGCACTCGGCCAAGCGTCTTTGCAAGTCCGCGATGCTGTTCGACGCTCGGTCCAAGCAAGAACCAAATTCCCCAACCCTAGCTTGAAGCTTTTCGAAGTTCGCCGCGCGAAGTGCATCTTGAGCTTTGACATGTTCAAGACTGCTGCTGTGCTTTCCCTGCTCGGCCCTGATCCCGTCAATACTCTTGGAGTACCGCTCAGACATGGAGTTCGCCAGGTCCATCACATACTCCAAGCGCTCAGACAGGGCCACTTCCCTCAGCTCCGCGGCCCGTGCGTCCTCCTCGAACCTCAGCCGCAGCCTCGGCACCTCAGCCGCCTCCGCCGCCAGGCGCTCGCAGTCCGCCAGCCGCGCGGCGAAGGTCACGACCTCCCGCTGCAGCTCCGCCGCCTGCAGCTCCGCCTCCGCAGCCCAGCGCACGCGCGCCTCCTCCGCCGCCGTGACCTCCCGGAGCTCGTGGCGCTGCTGGCCCAGGCTGCGGCCCAAAACCTCCAGGCGCTCCGAGAAGGCGGCCTCCTGCGCCAGCCGCTTGCCGTGGCGCTCCAAACTCTGCTGAGACATGGCGGCGTTCTGCTCGAACATGGCCTTGCAGCTGGACAGCTGGGCTTCCACACTGGCCAACCTCACCAGAATTTGAGACACCTCGCCAAGGACCGCGTCGGGTGCGTCTCCAGCATCGGGCCTTGCAGAACTCGCAGTTTCACGAGCGCAAGCTTCAAACTTCACCAGCCGCTGGGAAAGCTCGAAAACGAGATTGTGCAGCACTCGAAGCTCTTGAGCGTGCGCACTCAAGACCGAGGCACTTGTCTCTGGCAAGGCTGAGTTTTGCAGCCCGTTGCGAGTCTGCGTGAAAGGGGCTTTGGCTGTGGATGCCTCACTTGGTGATCCCCAGCAATCCTCCACGATCGACTGACCACGCAACCAAGGACTTCCGTCCAGAAAATTTCTCAAGGAGCCATCCCTCAAGCAAGCCTCTAGGCATTCCACCCGTTGCTCCAGGCACAAGTGCCGTGAATCCGCGGTCGCCTGAAGTTGTTGCAGCTGCCGTTCAGTCTCCTGGAACAGTAAGGAGTGCTTGGAGGTCACTTCCGTGATCTCCTGAGGATCTCAACGAGCATTCAAGTTTACACTGGCCACGGCCCAACAAAACATCAGCGAACCGAAAGCGACCCAAAAATGGTTTCCTGCTAATTTCAAAGTGCCAGTGTCTCTAACACACTCCCCACATCCGGCAGCTTCTGCACCGTCCTTTGCTATGTCACTCTCATGGAAACTAGCTCACAAACTCAACTTTGTGTATGCGTGCATGCAACCATGCCACGCTGTGAAGCAAACATGTCAAGCCTTTTGATCCCAGTTGCCAAGTCAGACCGCAAGGACCGCACATGCAGAGCACCTTCCTGTTTCTCCGATGGTGTCGCTGTCATTGCCCTGATTGATCCATCACGGCTCCCGAAGAATAAATCCACGTCTGCTCGAGACGGCCGGCATCGCTGAACATGGAAATCTGACATCGCCGTTTGATCGCAGGCTCTGAAAAGATTGTCCCAAACCTGGGACTATGCACGTTGATCTGAAACCATTTTAGCAATGCATATGGGCTGATGGGCTTTGACGCCTGAGCCAAGCTGCACCGGCTGCACCCATGGGAACATCATTTCAGCTCACTCACAGGACTCACAGGACTCACAGGACTCAGCTGGAGGCGCCATCAATCCCAAGCCTCGGGAGGGGGAATTGCGCTCACGAATCGATGGCGATGGTTTATATTCAAACCAAATGTGACGTGGGGCAGCCGTCTGCAATCCAACGACATCAGTTCAGCCAAAAAACCTGGGACCGAAATCGGCTTCAACCCGGGGTACGCCCGAAAGTCGCCAAGCCAGCCTCCAGGAAACGCTGGTCAGGTCGAAAAAGCATGTTCAATATTCCCTACTCAGCCACAGAAGAGACGCAAAAGTATCGCGCCTGTGCTCGCCGAGGAGCCTGAAAATGGAAACCTGCCCAAAGGGGCCCAGGTTGCCAAGGCGATTGACAAGAACAGTTTGCGGCCGCGGCCACACTTGGCGAAACCGACTGCACCTCAATCCGGACGTCGAAAGTGCGCTCGGCTCCTCCCCGACCTCTCACACGGCCGATTTCTGCCTTAAAGACACCCAACGCGCCTCTGGCGGTGGCTCTGGCCAAGGATCAGCTGCTGGCGGCGGAGGAGGCGGCACCAGCCGCGGGCCTCTCGGAGGCACGCGCACGGAGGGACCAATCAACATGTGCAAGCAAGCCTTTCGGATCCATGTTGCCGGTCGGCGAATCCGCCAGTTCCGCAACAATGAGAAGTCTAACAGAGCTGAGACGAGGGTTCCAACCCTGTTCTGAACAACACATATCACGTTCTTCTTCTCTTCCAGATGCTCAGTTTCAACAAATCTACTCGCCCACAACACAAATGAGCATTCTGGCTATCAAAACTTAAGCTGGAAACGTTCGCCGTCGTTGCGCAGGCAGCCTTCACACCTTATGTGAATGAAACAACGCTGCCGACCTGTGGGCTCTTCGTGTTGGAGCCGAAATTGCACGCCACGTTCTGTCATTCTGAACGCACAAGCCGCCCTCTGCAAATCATTTTTCCAGTTAAACATTGTCTTTGGAATAACACGCAAGCCTACCCATCCCCGAACATGAAAAAATAAAATGGCAATACGCAAACGACGAACGAATGCCATTTGACACACCTATGCTGTTCCAAGGTGGTACAAACATCTGGCACATGGCAAAGAAAACTTAACTCAACAAACATGACCATAGCTCAACACGTGTTCCGCAGGAACGCCAATCTAACACCTGTTTCCTCGATATCGGGAATAATTCACACAGATATCACTTTTACATGAGACGGCAATTTATGCGTGATCAAAAAAAGGACATGCGATCCGGCGTGACCTTTGCACTGGATATTTTCGGGTCCCTTCCGTGCGAATTGTGTTGCAAGCTGTATAAGCTGTCACCCAACCACGGAGTGAGATTAGGTGAGGCCAAGAACCCTGGACCGGAGCAGCTTTTTACCTTCTGTGCCACCAACCCAACGGCTTTGTTCAACAAGAGTTCGGCCGTTCTGTCGTTGGATGCGCATTGCACTTTTTTGTCTGAAACAAGCGCCACAAAGTGCGCACAGATGAGCATTTCGCAAGACTTTGCAGCTACACCACAAAATTTATTTTGGGGCAAGCCGGTGCTTCCCCGAAGTGTGCAACACAAAGAAGACTCATTGCGTGGCCAAAGCATTGGAGTTGCAATTGTTACCAGTTTACCTGCCAGATTGCCGCACCAAATCGACCATACAATGTTTGACACATGCCGTTTCCAGGAAATCTGGCTCCAGGTCGGTTGCCTCCCGGTTTTGTGCATAACAGTATATGGATTCATACAGACCAACGGGACCATAACCGTTTTAATTGTGTTTTACTCAATTCCGTCCTTGCCAGTGCAAGTCAAACCACGGGATGTGTTTTGATTGGGGGAGACCTGAATGCCATGTTGTACCCCCAGGAACACAGAGACATTTTAGCGAGCAGAGGATTTGTTAACCTCATTGAGATAGCAAAGCACAAATGGCCTGAGGCCACGCCACCCACATGTCGCGGTTCGACATGGAATGACACCATTTTGGCTAAAGGACCCATTGCCTCTGTCTTTTCCTCAGGATGGGTCGATCCTTTCGGTGAGCATGCACCGTTTTTTGCTCAATTTAGCGTGCCAACACAGGTGTGCTGTGTGAGACGATGGGCCATGCCCAAAAATTGGATGGACCTGCATCCGAATGCCGAGCCGCGGAACCACGGCCAGTTCACCGACGCGCTTCTTATGGTCCAGGACAAAGGTCACAAAGTCCAGTGCAGGGGACGGATCGGCGCCCGCGCAATAGACCGCCACGTTCCACGGCACGACGCCCACGTCGTCGGGGTCGATGAGGCCTTGGGCCGGCGGGGCGCCGATGTTCAACTTGACGCGAAGAACTTTCTCCAAAGACTCCAGGCAGCGGACGTCCTTGTCAGGGTGCTCAAGCAGGGCCTTGCGCGAGAACTTCAGGGTTTTGCCGGCCCAAACGCTGTCCTTGACGGAGCCCACAATCTGCACCTGCCACAGCAGGACGTCCGTCTCCAAGCCCTCGAAGAACGGGAAAGCCTTCTCCCACGGACGCACGGCGGCGAACAAGACGCCGGGGGCCAACTGCGCCAAGTGGTCGCCGCGAGCCTTCTTCGCCGTGCCGTTGAACTGCAGGCCGCTTGTCAAGAGGCGGCGCTTTGCGGGCATGGCTGCAAGGCGAGAGAGGTCCTGAAAGGGCGCTAGGCTTGGACGCCGGAGTCCTGGGATAGAGCGACCGGCGACGCGGCTTCACACATTTCCCCGTCAAAGGTCAATGTCCAGAGGCGACGCCAAAAACCATCGAAAATGGGAAACGCAGGGAACCCTGATCGAAGTCCCTCCTTAACGCGCGCGCCCGCCGTCTTTTTCGCCGCTCCAAACACCGCGCCGAACTGCAAGAACTACGTCGGCCGGGCGGCTTCATCGCTCGGCCTCGGCCTCGCTCCCCGCCTTCTCTCCATTGGTCGCCGTCATCGCTTCTGCTTCTCGCTCTCCGGCTTGGCTGTCGATTTGGGTCGGCGGCGTGCTTGGGCCGCGCACCAGAGGCAATCCAAGGCAAGGCGCAGTCAAGGCTCCCTATAAAGGGCGCAGTTGAGGCTCTGTGTAGAGGGCGCAAGGCCCCCTTTCAGGGCGCAAAGGCGCTTGACTTTGAGCCCGGGCACAAGCCAAGGCGCGAGCCAAGGCACGACCAAGGCGCTTGATTGCCAGCCAAGGGGCGACCCAAGGCGCGTCGCGGGGCGCCGACGAGCTAAGGCGGCGACTGGCAGGCTTATCCAAGGAGCAACCCAAGGCGCATCCAAGAGGCAATCCAAGGCGGGCTCGCCCGCCCAATTAAACGCCCCCTCGCTTTAGAAGGCGCAGTTAAGGCTCCCTGTAGAGGGCGCAAAACGACGGCCCTCGAAAAAGGCGCTAGGCTTGACTCCCCGGGTCCGCCCCAAGCGACCCAAGGAGCGCACTCAAGAGGCAGTCCAAGGCGCTTCCAAGCCAAGGCACGCCCGAGAGGCAATCCAAGGCCTCGCAGGGCAGCGGCGCGAGACGTCGCGCGCGCGCTCTCAAATGCTGCAGAATCGTTTGGCCCGCCAAGCATTTCCAAACTTTGTCACTTGTGTGTTTTCTCCCTCTCCGTTCTTTCGCTATTCGTCGATCATGGGCTCAAAGGGTGAAACTTGTGGCAGCTCGTCTCGCTTCAGCGCCGCCAAATTGCACGTGCTGCAGCTGGGGCATCTTCTCGCGCGCCCGGCGGGTTTCGTGCCACGACGGATCTAAAAGGAGAGCGTTGGTTGGCAGCCGCTTTGTTCTGCCAACCAACAAAACTTGCACAAGCCCGCCCAACTTCTTGCGTGCGAAATACACAACTTCGTCCCAGCTCACTGGCCAGCCCCAGTGTCGGTAGTTGCCGTGCGTTTGGGTCAGCGCACGCTCTCCTGGCGTTGAAAAAACTACAAGAGTCTTGGACGTCTGTCTTGAACAGTCCGCGCCTCCCAAGCTGAAGAAAACGGCGTCAAACTCGGCCACCCTTCCACTGAGATTTTGAAAAACAAATCGCGCAGCAAGACCTTTGCCGGGTGCGACGTAAGATCCGCGAGCCTGAGTGGAGAACGGCCCGAGCGACCAAGGAAAGGCTCGCAACGCTTAAGGCTGCGACGGCTCCGAAGTCATGACGCAAAGCGTGCCAATGCAATGTTTGAACTGCGAACAGCTGCGAATAACGCAGCTTGGAACAATGGAACCAGCGGTCGCCCTGGCTTACTGGGCTTAAAGTTTCAAGCAAGGCGGCCTTGTTTTTTTCTTCCTCCGGGACGCTCAAGCTCGATTAAGCACGTTCCTCGCCGCGCTCGACGTCACCCCGCGCGACCGAAAGAGCGGCGTTGCTCTGGAGACGCTTCTTGACGCAGCGCTTTCTCTTGGCCGGCGCGCGCGTCGCCATCCTCCACAGCCGGTTTTTCGAAAAGGTTGCGCGCTCGCAGTCGACGGCCTCGGTTTTCGCGCGCTGGCGGCTCCCACGCTTCTTGAGACAGGGCGGGGGTTCGACTGTAGAGCCAGTCCGACACGCAGACTGAGGCTTGAGCCACCCTTCCGCAAAATAAGCAAACGCAGTTAAGGCTCCCTAAGAAGGGAACCCGACAACGTTAGGGAAAGTTCCGAACCCAACAACGATAGGAATCTTCTTTCCCGCTAGGCAAAACGACGACGTTCCCAAAAAAGGCGCCAGGCTTGATTCACCCCAAATCCGCCCCTGCGCCTTCTTGGCCCCAAATCCAAGAGCAAGCCAAGGCGCATCCAAGAGGCGTCCAAGGCGCGCCCCGCGCCAAGGCGCACCCAAGAGGCAAGCCAAGGCACAGCCTGGGGCTGTTTGCAAAGAAGAGAGCTAGGGGAAGTTCCAAACCCGACAATGTTAGGAATCTAAAGCGCGCGTCCCAAGCAAAGGCACGCCCAAGGGGCAATCCAAGGCGCAGCACAGGCAAGGTTCCCTGTATAGGGCGCAGCCGCCATGGAGGGCGCAGTCAAGAGGGTCCCTACACAAGGGGCAAGCTTCCTACATTAAGGCGCAGGAAAGAGGGCAAAGAAACTTCTTTTCCCGCACAAACAGAGCTTTCTTTTTGGAGGGCGGGAACGCCGAGACGACCAGCAGCTTGCCCAGCCATTTTCACCCGCCGCCCGCCTCATCCTCCCACGCCCAGCAACTATCGCTGAGGCACCACCAGCCCTTCATCAAGACGGGCGGTCCAGCCTCGCAGTGGCGAACGGCGGTTAAGAATCTCTCACCAACAGAGAAGCCGGGCGCTCCAGACCCCACTTGCGCAGCAAGCTTGCGCGCAGGCCAGCCAGGGACCTGCCGAGACAGACCCCAGCGGCGCCCGCCCGCCCGCCGCCCTGCCAAAAAGCTCCACCTCGCAGAGGCGCTTGCGCAAGTCGGCCGACGTGGCCGGGGGCTCCGCGGCGGCCTGCCGGCAGTGCGAGGGGCGAGCGGCCCCCCCCCTTCCCGGCCGCCCAGCCTCGAACTGCCGGACCAAGCTCCAGAAGTACTTCCAAGTCCCAGCGCCCGCGCAGAACAACTCAGCAGCAGCGAAATCGCGATCGAAGCTCGGCCGGAAAAGCGAGGCCCGCGCTCTGCTCCGACCAGTTGGCGCCTGGCGAGACGACCGCGACGCGAGCGGTCTCGGGAAGGAAAGCCGGGGGCCGCGCGAGCCGCTTCTGGCGCTTCGAGCTCAGGC